AGCAACGGAGAGAACTAACAGTGGCGCCGCCAGCTCGATAATTGGGGGGGGGGGCGAATATTCATATCTTCGTGTTCTGCATTATTAACTTCTTTTGAAATCGATTGTTTTTATGGTCTGTGAACACGAATATATGAATATTCGCGGATTCGCCCAATTACCGAGCTAGAGGTGCCACTGAGAACTAACCACTTTTCTATACATCAGGCGCAGATTCTAAGCAACAACAGAAAGGTTCAGATTTGACTTCCACTATACCTCTCACTGACTTAAGTACGTATCTAATTGGTTAGTCGGATATATCAACCTGATTGGTTGATGGTCTCTTAGCGGTAGTGGAAGTTAAATCTGAACCTCTACAGTATAATATCTTACTCAACATTCGTTAGCATTCTTGGCTCAATTCAGAAACATACTTAGTTTGCTTAATGAGACAGAGCCGCAAGAAAGCTGCGGGTATATCGTGTACCATCCGTGATGAAGGTTTACTACATGAAGCAGGTTTAAAGTGGGATTCACTTTAGTATTTTTTTTCTGTGTTGGTGTTGTGTACTCAGGTGAATAATATGTTTGCGATGTTACTCTGAGTGCATATCCACACCGGCAGTTGGAAGAATCCCACCGTGGCCGGGCATATTTTTCAAGCTCGCCTGGTGTGGATATGCACTCAGAGTAACATCGCAAACACACTTTAGTATTGTTGTGTTGGTATTGTGATAGTGATCACGCGACCAGAACATTGAAGTAAACAGTGAAGACTGATCGATATTCTGTAAAATGTAAAGGGTCCTACAAGTATTTGCTATCAAACTGACGAATGATAAACGATCCTAATAACAGTGCGTAAGTTGTAACCGCGGGAAACAATAAACTCTTACTTTCCAGTTTTCCGACGTTTCCATGTAATCAACCAGACTAGTTACAGTCGTGCCAATAGAAGCGTTCCGAAAAATGTTGACCAATTTATTTCCTTACTTGAAGGAACACTTCTGAACAATTCCTCAACAATTTGATAAGTTCCTTAAAAAGTTCCTAACTTCGTGTTTCATTGACCAATCAAATTTTATATTTTATTTTTGAGCAATCTGATTGGTCAATGAAACAGCTGTGAAACCGATTTCAAGATGAAATTATTGATCTATTTTGTGTTAGCCATAATTCACATTGTTTTGAGAAAGGTCTTGAAAACTTGAATGCTGATATCCTCCTGCCCGGAAGAAGGTTGAATATTTTTTATAGCGAGTTTTTTGTTACCGAAACAATGCTTTGAACAAAGCGTTCCGAGAAACAATGGTATAGTTCAATAATTCATATGTCGTTTCGTATACATGTGGGGTCACTCTGCAGGAAGCACGAATCATGAATGGGTGGAAATTCTTAATGAAAAGTCACTGTTTCTAAAATGTCAACAATTGCGAACGGTATATATTTTAAACAAATTTTGACAGTTTAATTAACAGAAGGGCAAACGCATGCAAAGGAGTTCCATGATGTAAGTATTTAGTAACTTCTAGATCTTTTTGAGATTCAGTCTGAGATAGCGAATGGTTGTCGATCCTGTAAGTCATGTAATAAATAACATGTTTGGAAAACGCACGAACATTTAGATATCACAAACGCCAAGCTTGACTCCAGTCTTGTGGGTATCCACACTTTAACTCTTGACAGTCTCCCATAACACCAATGACTTTGAAACGAACACTTCAATTCGACAGCAAAAGTTTATATAAAGCTGTCAATAACCCTATAGATTCACATATAAACCGAGAATGCTAAGTTACTTCCTTAATTGGATCTCAAACAAACACTGGTGGAGACACAGCTAGCCTGAACGTGCATCATTGCCGGATATCCAGTCCAGCTTACAAATGCGCAAAAATTAGCACCAAAACGAGACTAGTCAGTCTTTTAAGGTTTAAAATCTCAAAGAGAATCACGGTATTATTTTTATATTTTTTAAAACTGATACAGTCTTGAATTGATCTAGAATTCGTATTATTATTCCGAAATTAATTTCTAGAGAAAAAAGAATGGCAGCCATTTTTCGAATCGGTCTATTGTTTGAAAATTGAGACTTCTCATATTTAGCCGGTCACTGAATATAAGACATGCAATAAACGCCAACTTCAGTCTTCGATCATATGTAATCACGTAATCTCTTACTGTAGAACGAGCTTAAACAATACTACGTCTTGGGACACCATCGCGGCATTACGCTTTCCGATCGTTTGCAGAGATTACAAAATAGGGCTGCTAGAGTTATCATGGGTCGTAAAAACGAACATGACTCATCTGAACTTGCTCTAAATGAACTAGAATGGAAGCCTTTGAGTGAAGGCAGATCTCAGTTTGTAGCAAGTCTAAATAAATAACTCATGATTTAGTTTGACTGACATCCTTCAAAAGACGTCTTCCTCTCGGCATTGTAATTTACGAGGCTCTTCCACTAAACTCTATTTGCTCAATCCTAAGACTGAATATCTTAAAAAGAATCTTAGTTATAGTGGGGCAAAATGTGTAATGGCCTCACAGATCAAGAAAGAAATATCTTACTACCTTTAATACAAGCATATGGTGGCACCTGGCCAGTTGAGTCAATTAATGAAATAATAGCTAATTGTTTATCTTTTTCAAATTTTAATTGTATTTTCTACTTACTTATACCTTATTTTCTACTCAGTGTAATGACTGTAATTGTAATTTTATGTAATTTTTGAATAACAACTCTGAGCTGATTTCCATGAGGGGCGTGATTTTAGAACGAATATACAGATAAACATTGCTAAATTATACAAAAATACAAAAACAAAGAAAGAAGAATTACTATATATAGGCAACAGGACGAGCCAATTTTAAGTGTTTGCCTGGTTAATAGTTCTTTGAAAAGAACTTAAATTAAAGATTCCGCTACTTTTACCTCATACGGTAGATTATTCCATACCGACCGCTCCGTTAGATATTTGAAGCATCTTTTACCAAAATCGGTATTCGGTTTAGGAAGAGGCAAATCGGTTTCTCTATTTAATTCTAAGATCATAGGTATTATCACATTCATTATTCAATCGAAAGGATGTTCTTAGATTTGGTGCGGTGTGGTTATTCAGAATTTTATACATAAAAACAGATTTTAGATAATTTCGCCTTAGTTCTAGGTGTTTCCAACCAAGACTTTCGAGTAAATCAACCGACCGAACATCGTAAGTTGCAGCAGAAATTACGCTTGCAGCCCGATTTCGACATTTCTGCAGCCTGTCCTTCACCCTATTCCACACTTGTCCCAGAGAGGGCTGCAGTAATCAAAGTAGGGCTATATAATGGTATTGTAGATCAATTTTAGTGTCGCAGACGATACAAAGGGCCTAATACGTCTTATAGCCCCGATACCCGCACTGACTTTTGAACATATCATATCAATATGTTTTTCCCAGCTGGTCAATCTTTCGTCAATGTTGACACCAAGGCAAATATAATTTCCAGTCCTAGATATTGGAACGTTATTAATTTAACGAGAATAGAGTTGCCAGATACCTTATGTTTAATATTATACGCTGATCCAATGAACATATAATATTTCGATTTTGTAGGATGAATTTGGAGCTTATTTCGTAGCATCTATTTTCGAATATATTCAAGATCAAGGTTTTTTTTAATAACAATGTCATCGCAATCTTTAGAAGATAGATAAATTAATTAAATTTCTGTGTCTTCTGCGTAGAGGGATGGAATTGAATATTTTAAGGAGTCAGGCATATCGTTTATGTACAATAGGAATAATAAAGGACCCAAGATAGACCCCTGCGGTACACCACATTTTATCTTTCTCGGGCTCGATAACTGACCGTTTACAAGACATTGCTGTTCTGCATTAGATAGATAAGACTTGAACCAATTTAGTGGAATTCCTGATATAACCAAAATTGTAGTTAAGCATCTTTTTTAAAAGGCCTTACGTACATCAAGAAACACGACACAATTTATTTTGCCATTTATCCATAAATTGTCGCACATTTGTATCAAAGAGGACAGTGTAGAGTGTTTAGGTCGAAATCCCGATTGAAAGTTGGAGAGTAAGAAATTATCAGAAACAAAGCTATAAATTTGTCTAAAAACCACTCTTTCAAAAACCTTACTTACGAGAGTACGAAATTATCAGAAACAAAGCTATAAATTTGTCTAAAAACCTCTCTTTCAAAAACCTTACTTACGATTGGCAGTATAGAAATCGGTCTATAATTTTAACATTTTAGTAGTCTGTCGTCTCAGAGATATGATTTATAAATTGGATTCACTCGAGCCCGTTTCCAGTCGTCAACATAGATCTCTGTTTCGAGTGATAAATTAAATATATAGGACTGTGACGGAGCTATGATATCTGCAGTCTGTTTGAGGATTTTGGCTGGAATTTCATCAAAACCAGTAGATTTGTTAGTCCTTAAATTCATTAAAGCCAAAGCTACATTTTTTACATTAATTTGATGGAACTGAAATTCTGTGTTTATTTGAGGGTTAGGAATGTAACAGTTATTAATTTCCTCTTCTGGGAGTTCATGATTTGCCTCAGATGCCAAGTTTGGGCCTATGTTAACGAAATATTCATTAAAGGCTTCGGCAATAAGTTTCGAGTTGGTAATGTTACAATACTGCAAGTATGTTTTGGATTTATCCTCATTCTGGTCGCCTATACGTGCTGACAGATATTTATAGGTCTGGAAAAAAATACATTTATGTATAATGCTCTTTCATAAAGAAAGTCTTGCTTTTTAAATACGCTCGGTCCCTTATCCATTATACTTTAAAAAATCAAGAGTCTTTTAAATCGAACAAAATTGTGGCATCGCGTCATGAATTCCTGAAATCAATTAGCAGACGTAACAAGTTGTTCGAAACAATTAACAGTTAATTAGATCGCAAGGTATAAAAACTTTGCCAATTAGGCAGTTAATTAATTAAAGAACTAGCCACGCGAAGGTGAAGTTTCGTGTCAGTGAATGTTTTCAAAGGTGGACATAATGGCATTTGTAGCACAACGTAAAATTTTACTTGCTGCCGGAGGAATCTTTGCAGCTGGGACAGTCGCATACGCTTGCTGTGCGGGTAGAAAGAAATCCTCTACTCCCACTTTGAATAACTATCCTGACATCCGCCAACATAATAACTTAATGGCGAAACACCTCACTCCAAAACTCTATGACAAACTAGAGAGTAAGTCTACTAGCTCTGGATTCACCTTGGATCAAGCTATCCAGACTGGAGTGGATAACCCAGGACATCCATTTATCTCAACTGTTGGTATTGTCGCCGGAGATGAAGAGAGCTACCAAACATTTGCTGATTTATTTGATCCAATTATTGAGGAAAGACATAATGGCTTTAAGAAAACCGATACACACAAGACAGATTTGGATCATACTAAATTAAGAGGAGGAACCTTGGATGATAAATATGTTTTATCTTCGCGCGTGCGCACTGGACGTTCAATCCGGGGATATTCTTTACCACCTCACTGTTCACGTGGTGAACGAAGGGAAGTTGAGAGAATTGTGAATGATGCACTGGAAGGATTGAAAGGTAGATTTGTTCAGTTGTGGGTTACGTTATCAATTTGATTTAGTTTCATTTTGGACGTTCCGTAAAAGCTAGTTTTCCACTAAGCGAATTTGTTCACGCAAAGCAAATTTCGGCAATGTGATTAGTTTAGTTTAGTAGTTTGTTAACGTTTAGTAATTAGTTTAGTAATTAAGTTAGGTTAATTTAGTTTAGTTTAGTTTAGTTTAGTTTAGTTTAGTTTAGTTTAGTTTAGTTTAGTTTAGTTTAGTTTAGTTTAGTTTAGTTTAGGTTAGGTTAGGTTAGGTTAGGTTAGGTTAGGTTAGGTTAGGTTAGGTTAGGTTAGGTTAGGTTAGGTTAGGTTAGGTTAGGTTAGGTTAGGTTAGGTTAGGTTAGGTTAGGTTAGGTTAGGTTAGGTTAGGTTAGGTTAGGTTAGGTTAGGTTAGGTTAGGTTAGGTTAATTTAGATTAGTTTAGTTTAGTTTAGTTTAGTTACTAGCTCGAAGCGCGCACGCGTTGGACGCGATGTTGAATGCATGTAAATCTTCATGGAAAATTTCAACTTCTTCTCGAAGTTTCGAGCGAAGGCCCTTCGATTCGTCCTTAAAATCGCTGCCTGGTGCTGAATAGTTCTTGTCCGACATTTTCTAGCTTTGCTCTGGGTTCGAGGTTGACAACAAGTCCGCCTCGAACTTATTGTATACCAGACGTTCATATAACACATGCAAGTCTTGCCGCCGCTTGCCAAGAACCAGTCATTGTCCATTATCAGTGCTCTAACCATTTTGCTGTGGTACCCCACAGTCTATTACTGGAATATGATCTGAAAATAAAAGTAAAGTTTGTAACTATTTACATAATTATATTCATTTAAAGTAATATAATTAAAGGATGAGTAGGTCATGTTTTCATGAATTTGTTTTCGGAAAGTTTCATGACATAGGATTAGTTAAGTTAATTAAAGAAAGCATTTTTTACCTGCCTATGTTTATTCCGCGCATATTCAGGCGAGCTACGAAACATAAGTTAACTACTCATCATGAGAAACAATGTGTCCGGTTGTATAACAAGTTATTGCAGATTAAAAGGAGTTTGTAATATAACCTCGCCCCAGGAATTAAGTTTCAAATGTTTTCACAACACCGTTGCCTCGTTTGCCCAAGGCTCAAATTCAATTTCTTTTCTTCGTTGTCTGTTTATAGGAGAACTGTTTTGCGTTTTATTATCTTTGGGATATTATTTCAGGTCTACAATAATTTTCAAAAGTTGTTTAGACACTTGCAATTTTAGACCATCAGTGGATGTATGTAAATTATTACAAATATTTATCTCCCCTTTACCAGATCACACATCAAAGTAAGATGCTAACTGAGACCAAACATTGAAAAGGGGAAAGGGGGGATGGAAGTTTGTCAAAATAATAGGTATTGTTCCCCCAACAAATTTGAAAATGATTGTATATTCAATTTCTTTGTCTGTTTAGGAGAACTATCTGGTCATTACTACCCACTGAACGGCATGACGGAAGCAGACCAAAATCAACTCATTGACGATCATTTCCTGTTTGACAAACCTGTTTCCCCTCTTCTGACATGCGCAGGAATGGCGCGTGATTGGCCTGATGCGAGAGGAATCTTCCACAACAAGAATAAGAACTTCCTCGTCTGGGTAAGATATATGAAATACCCTAAACCTCCCCCATGTATGAGCCCAACATATATTCACTAACGTTCAGGCCATTCGAAGGTAAGCCCCCCCCCACCCAATGGGTTTATTATTGGACAGGCCATTTATTAACGCGTATTCACGTTCGTATTTTGAACGAGCTTTATGCTCTTGGACGTAACGTGTCTAAATAATTAATTCATTCATTCATTCATTCATTCATTCATTCATTCATTCATTCATTCATTCAACGCAGCGACGGGGATTGCTACAGCTCAGACGAGTGACAATAATTACATTACACTAGTCACTTACATTACACTAATAATTACGTTACACTATAAGATGTTGCCTTATTTCGTGTTATACACTGTATATTTATATTTCTTCTACATCTACATTCATAACTCGCAAGATCCGAAGACAAAATGCAAGACTATACATTGTTTATTTTATTTTTTGTTACATTCCATACATTGTTTTTATTCACGATATAGGTTACAAGTACAAAAAATATTATTACTAACACCAATCGTCCGTATAAAGCCACCCACCCCCAATGTAGAAGCCCATAAAAATGCTAAACGAACGAAAATGAGCCCATGCAGGACTTTTGTATACTCGGAGGTTTACGATATAACGCATATTATCACTAAGCTAACTTTTTCAATAAATGGCAACAACATTAGTGGTAACAGTTAAGCCGGTTACAGTCGAGCGAGTTTTCTATGACAAGTTTTATTTGCCAAGTGCACGTGTGTATATGCAACAAATTATCTATGACAATTTTTCATATGACAAGTATTATTTACTGGTGTGAACGTGTCAACAAGTTTACTTCGACAATTATTAGTAGCCAGCTGGCCAATCACATGAAATGCTCAGATTTCTTTGACAAGTTTTCTTTGTTGACACATACAGACGAACAAAATTTGTACTTTGACAATTTTTCTATGACAAGTGCACTTGTTCAAAAGCTAGCATGTTAGCTTTTGAACAAGTGCACTTGTCATAGAAAAAATTGTCAAAGATGCGCGTACAGACGAGCAAATAAAACTTGTCACATAAAAACTTGTCATAGAAAACTTGCTCGTCCGTAACCGGCGTTAACTTCTGCTTATTGTTGGATCCATGGCTCTTTCTCAGAAGACATTAACAGATTAATCAATGCAATCAGGAAAATAAATTCTGGACTAATCCTGGTTAAATTATCCATGACTATGATCAAATAAACCAAGATTGTGTAAATTAACCAAGAAATTTAACCAGGAATTCCCCCAAACATGGTTAACTTTGGGGTTTAATTAACCAATTTTTAACCAGGGAGTTATTAGAGTGTGTAACATTTTAAGAAAATTATGTATAGCACGCCTACTCTCAGCATATACGAAGGTGTCTGGATCTAAAACAGGAAATGTTCTTTCTGTTCAGATCAACGAAGAAGATCACACTCGCCTTATTTCGATGGAAAAAGGTGGAAATATGAAGAAAGTGTTCCAACGTTTCTGTGAAGGTTTGAATGAAGTTGAACGTTTGATCAAGAAAGAAGGTTTTGAATATATGTGGACTCCTCATTTGGGATATATCTTGACATGTCCCAGCAATCTTGGGACTGGTTTGAGAGCTGGTGTTCATGTCAAGTTACCAAACCTTTCCAAGGTAAATATCAGGAATTTAACCTCAAAATTATTATAAGCAGGAGATATAATCTTGAACGCGCCAGTAACCTCGTACAATTCCATCTTTCACCTCATGAAAAGATTGTTACTATTGCACCCATAAACATTCATTATTTGTATACCGTTTACTGTGCAATCAATATTTCAACGGGTTATGCATCGATGATATGCACAATATGATATTTAGTAAGGAAGTAGAATAATCATGTCATGATTTCTGAGAAATGGTTGGCTCCAGAGGGCAAAAACCCAAGAAGGCATATATAGAAGTCTCCGCGCGTATATGTATGTGCGTATGCTCGTATAAGGTTCTGTATTGGAAAAAATCTCAGTTTTCCCAGTCTAAGGCTACAAAGGATCTCGGGGAATTACCGCATGTAGTATCGGTAATGAAAAGGAAATTTAGCAATTTGCAAACACTGATACACGGTGCAAACAGCGGACATATAAAGTGCAGCCACCCTTCTTCTGTTTGTTTGTTTACTCAGTTGGTTTAAAAGCTACGAAGGTTGGAAGACGACACAGATTGCAGAGGTTCATCAAACGGGGGCAGATGTAGTGTCAACTATTATCAATCATAAAATTAAGATCAATTTTAAAGATATGTTTAGTGAACTAAAGTCATGGTTTTTTTTTTTAAACTAGGATAAACGTTTTGATCAACTCTTGGAAAATCTCAAGTTACAAAAACGTGGAACAGGTAAAAAAATCAAAATGAAACGTACTAATTTTTATCTTTACCCGTAAAAGTTAGTGTTGTGATACAAATATAGACACCCAATGCTTAGGCGTGTTAAAGATTGATTTAAATATTCAAATTGTTTTAATAAAACTCCCTTGCCAACTTCCCTTGGTAAATAGGGCAAAAATGTTTAAAAATCTAAATAACATTGCAATTCTGCAGTTCCAGAACTGCGGCTGGTGACGTCACTGATTGCATAGTAATGAGTTGAGGTTATAGTTACTCCTCGGCAAGAAAAGTATAGATTGCCAGATTAGGTTAGTATAGATTAGGTTTCCTCCTGTAGCAAAACTGGACAAATGAAGAATGTTCCAGAGAATGTTCATGGAGCATCCAAGTATAAGAATATAAATTCATTTCTCATGTGTCTTGCCTACACGCAGAAGAAACTTAGTTTTTGCTGACAAATATTTGTACACAGGTGGTGTCGACACAGCAGCAGTTGGTTCAACCTTTGATATCTCGAACGCAGACCGTCTCGGATTCTCTGAGGTTGAACTGGTTCAGTTGGTTGTTGATGGTGTCAATCATTTGATTAAGATTGAGAAGAGATTGGAAAAAAATCAAAAGATAGATGATCTCATTCCATGTTTGTAAGGTAATAGTCGCTTGATGGCACATTCGTGCGATATGCACACTTGCGGAATTAAAGCAATCCGGTCTATAAGAAAAGTGAAGCCAAGTTATGTAGAATTGAAGTCCAATAGCCATGAAGGTTGTATATACATTATATGTATGTACAGTCTTAATACCATTTTTTCTGCTAATTTTAGTTTTCTCTGACGGACCATGGCTAATCAAATTATAAGTTCATAAAACCATACTGTTACCCTTTAAATCGAAGTGAAACTACTAAATTTGAGCACACTACTTTCAGACCGTGCAGACAAAAACAATAGAAAAGGACTGAAACTGACCTTCAATAGCTCCTTAAATTTTGTTTCACGTTTGAACCCAAGTTCTCGCTCCAGATATTTATAGAGCTCACTGCATAACACATAAATTACCGTTGTTTGCATGAATAGTTAGTTTCCTATATAATTCTCATGTGAAGCGGCATTTTCGTAACGAGTATTTGAAGGATTAATTCAATAATGATGCAGACTGTGCATTATTTTCTACTTGAAGGCAATATCTAACACCAGTTGAATATTTACAACTCGGTTCTGGCAATGTCATTGTTGCCATCGACCCATGGCAACGTGGTGAAGGTAAAAATCTGCTTATTTTAGCCACAAAAGTATCTTTATCTAAAAAATGAAGTCGGTGACCTATCTTTTTTATTTCATATATCAATATTTTTTCCAGTGCGATATTTTCCAAAATTTGAAATATATAAAATTTACCAAAATTAAAATTTGTAGTCAAAATTTGGAGATAGGTTACCGATGAAAATAATGAGTAAAATGAAATTCAAGTTGGGAAAACCATCGTGTAATTTCCCTTATATAAAAGCATCACTGAATAGTGAAAGATTGTGCTCGGGCGCAGAACAAACTTTCATCCAGCAAAATTGAGTGGCAATGTCGTTTTTAATGTTTCGATTTTGTCAACTTTTCGATTTATTCGAGTGCCATGGACAGCCAAGGAATATAGTCGTGGCTAGTTTTTTGGTCTAGACTGTCTAGTAGTATTCGTGTCATATGTAAAATTGCTATATGGACTCGCAATTAATTTGGCACTCAAAACGAAGGATTATTCAAACACTTTTTCCATTATAAACTTTTCAGAAATAGCTTTAAACAAGACGCTCTACGGAGCGTTAACTCGCTGGGGCTATACTAGACTTGGTTGAAGTCCGTCTTTTCGCACGTTTTTGATCTCTCGCGTGCATCGCTATTTTCAACCCCCTTGAGAGACGGATTTGAACCAAGTCTAGGGCTAGTACAAGTACGCACATTACTGTACATGATACATAAAGTACACAATACAATTTCGCCTGATTTTCAAAGGCCATAAATCGCTAGAATACTGGTGCTTAGCGATACATTTGTACTACATTTGAAAACCGTAAGTACAATTTCTTACGCTGAATCGAACGGTGGTATTTTTATCCTTATTGCGCCATTAGGCATTACAAATACAAGGACAAACGTAGTGCGAGTGATTTGTCAACAATACGTACTGCGAGCGATTTGTCAACAATACAATTTCGCTTGATTTTCAAAGGCCATAAATCGCTAGAATACTGCTGTTTAGCAATACACTTGACGTCTGTAAGTACAATTTCTTACGCTGAATCGAACGATATCGCTTTCTTCTCAAAATATAAAGCAGCGCAGCCAAACCATATTAGCCAAACGTAACTTGCGATTTGCGAAGGTTGCTGTTTCCATGTCGAAATTCCATGGAAAATTGTTCAATTTTCCCGAATTTTCCTCAAAATTGGCAGGAGGCTTATGAATAATTGGGGGGAAATTAGGCAGCTCATTAATATTCTATTTTGTGGCTATCGACGATCGGAGATCCACTATTCGTGATCCGTGAAAAATGCAAGCCGAAACCTATACTCGTCTGGGGCACAGGTGCCCCAGCGAGTAAAAAAAAGCCCAGTGAATTTATTTTGATCGTGGCGGTTCCGTGGGATAGTCCACGTACAGTACTCATCTCGTGAACATCGTGCATGTTACTGTATAGCGAGTCTCCTAAAAACTGGGAAATAAAGTTTCAAGAAGCAAGAAAAGCAAGAAATATGCATATGTAAGATAATAGTCGAAAAAGTAAGAAACATATAAAGCCCTCCAAACAATTTTAGCGTCCCCGGATTACTTGGTTTAAAAGATGACATGGCGGATAAACATATTCGCCAGCTATTTAGTCTATTGATAAAAACTAACATGAAATATTTTTCCTAGATCATTTCAATATACTGAACTGCAATTCAAGAAAGAAAAATCATTGACATTTCCTGGTAATTTTCTGGACGGTAACGCGTAACATCCACAACATAACAATATCAATTGCATATAATTGTGTTTTAATGAATAAAATTCATTCAAAATCATTTTATTTTATCTGATTTTATTAAACTAGTTTGACTGCATGAGGGCCGGCAAAATCTATTTCCGAAACGGAATATATTCAAAATGGCGATGCATATAGAATGGACGTTGCATGCAAGTCGCAACAGAACCATTCCGGACGTTTATTTATACCATACTACCGTAGTTATGTAACTTTATTGCATATAGAATTGCCATCAATGGGTCGAATTACTAATTCCGCAAAATGTTTTCTAAGTATTTGGGAAACAGGGAATCGACCCAAGGACAAAACAAAACCTCTGATTGAACGTCTTGTTGATTTGTCTCCAATTGGAAAAAAACATGTTGCACTCTACACTGCTGAAGGACAACAGCCAACTCAGTTGTATTATTTTTCGTGCAGCATATCTATATCAGTTAATACATCGCGTTTTATATTATATAATATTCTAAATACTTTATTCATTTATATTACTAAATATTTGGCTTTCAGATTATGCATAACAATTACAACTGATATACGTGATTTTCACCATGCAAATGGTGGTCAACCTGAGGTAGGGAACAGTGACGCAGAGAAAGCGCGAGAAACTATTGAATTGCTCAAACCGATCTGAAGTCATCCAGCTCACTCGACTGAACGGACTATCTTCAGACTGCCGGGATGAATTCGGAGCGGGATGAATGTAAACACAAATGCATTTCAGACCAGTCTTGGCTGTACTTTTGGTTTCGCAAGAATGCATGTTCACAAAAGCATTGTAAAAAACGAAAATGGCAGCAAGGGGAATATATTGAAAGTTTATGATTTTCGTACCGATCTCATGTGAACATGCTTGAAAATTTCGATTTTCATCCCGGTTTGACTTCGTCCCAGTCTCATGTAAACGCGGCCTTAGAATTTCCTGCAGTAGAATTGAGAGATTCCTTCACCTTTGAAGTTGACCACCACCTTGTCATGCTTCCAATTCATGAATGCCCTGAGTTATATAAATTTCACATCTTATGGGGGTTATTGTGAACTGTTCGTCACGTATATTTCTTTCTAAATAGCAAATATGTCTACATTGTTTATATATATTCCACGTTTCTTGACTGTATTTTGAGGTAATCAGGCATCTAGCCAGGGTGGGTAGATAATCTGGTTGAGAACCAGGATGTCCGGGTCTAGTATTGTGTTCTACAGTCTACCCAACTATAGTCTCAACACATTCTGCGCAGGTTTTCATCACTTAATCACAGTAGTAAATCGTACGGTATGTTGTTATGTGTACTGTCCGATATTCAGTCCTATTAAAAATAAATAAATTTTGATTGGCAAATACTTAAATTTCCAGCTACACCATTATTTATCGTGGTAGGTGCAAGAAATCGCGAGAGATTTCAACAACAAAGAGCTTTTTGCCATGTTGGATGGAATATGAATACACCTTTCCAAAAAGTACGTCTGTTTGGTGTAGAGCCTCTTTTTCGTCTGATCTGATATCAGTTAATTTAAAGCCTAACGTCTGAATCACAAAAACGAGGCTCTATAGCCAAGGTAACATACTTTTCGGAAGCAAGTTTTGCAACAATAAAAATCCTCTGTCAAAGTTATCCAACATGGCGGTGATGACGTAACTCTTGCACCCAAAAAATTCGTGTTTGCATAGTGATATAGTTACGACAGATTGATTTTTGTTGAAAACAAAACCACAATAATTTCTTTGGAAAAGCTTTGAAACAATAAGCACAGCTATTCATCCACGAAGTTCCATATCATTTGTAGTGAATTACGCCGGACCCGGACTTACCAGTCGTATCGAAAGGTCGTGCCACTAGTAAAAAAATTCTGGTGTTTTAAAATATATCCGGTCAAAGATCTGCTTCAGATTTCTAACTCAATTGTAGGCCTAATTGCTTCAATATTACATGCTTGTGGCATGAATAAGCTGCAGGAGTGCTTGTCTAAAGGTCTACACATATGCAATTTGAGAAGTATCAATGGTAAAACTATACGAGAGAATAAATCAACACTTACCTTTTTTCTGTACATGGTCTCCATCCTATATGATGAGTACACCATTTTGGCAAACTTGTTGTAATAGGAATGTGCACTGTTCTCTTCTGTGGAACTACACGTGTTTTGTAGATACACGACCTTAATTAATTGTGCAGACCATGATCAGGTGATGGTGCAGTTTATAGTGGGTTATATGGGCTTATAACTACGATTATTATATACACAAGGTCTGGATATGAGGTATTCTGCAATCTGATTGGTTCTCTACTAGCAGGGTATTAGCCCATATCCTGCTAGTAGAGAAAAACAAAATGGCGGCCAAACTGAATTTACGATGTTTTGCAAACGAGAAAACGGCAAGTTGTCGCTTTTTATAGCCTTCACAGGATTAAAAACACAATGAAAAAGCTCCCACAAATTGTTTTCAGGTTAGCAAATAAATTTTTAATATTTAAAATGGTTAAAAATATATATTTTTGAAAAAATAATCGGCCGAAAGAGCGAAGATAAAAACATAAAAAAATAGAAAAATATTGAAAATATTCGAAAAGCAAAGTTTGTGAATTCAGACCTTGTGTATATAATAAAACAGTTATTCCACTCACTCTCGTCGAATATGAGCGATAGCCGATGAGGCGCTACGCGCCTCATCGGCTATCAGCTCATATTCGACTCGAGTTCGTAGAATAACTGTTAACTATATCAGGTTATAACTAGTATGTAAATTCTCTGTTTTCGTCTGTCGAACTACACGTGATTTATAGATGCACGATTGACTGTGTAGTGATGGTGTTAGGGCGCACATTAGATCTGATTCATGTAATAATATTTTATGTAGATTCAAGCCATGATCACATGAAGGTGTTGTGTCAGGTATAATATAGGATTATATTAGTGGGTTAACTACGGTTATGTAGGGTGAATTAACTATTATTGTGTAGACAGAGGACCTTCATTAATTTTGCAGAAAAACACCTTATAAATGAATGTGCGCAGATGCATTAATAAAATTACATAAACACCACAATTAATAGCACGTACAAAGCCTGCTTTGATGTTTGTTCCGAACTAGTCATAGTCACACTCATGTGAAATAGTACTCTGGATCTATGTTTGTAGGAATGTGGGATGCAAACAAATCTTTAAATTACTAAGTGCATACATAGATAGTTGAGAGATTATATAAACATTCAAAAAAATAGTCGATGAGTTGACGTAAGGTAGAAGAGCGCTCAATACCATAATAAGTAGAGCGGAATTAATTCAGTCAAGGTTTGAATGTTTGCGTCGCTACTCTGAGTTTCACGCTTTACGCGATCATCAGGCAACATATATATATATATATATATATATATATATATATATATATATATATATATATATATATATATATATATATATATATATATATATATATATATCTTTACAACATGTATTTATTTATTTGAAGTTTATATTTTCAATTTGAAGCTTTATATAAATGAAGTTTTTTGGGAGGCTAGTGATATATATATATATATATATATATATATATATATATATATATATATATATATATATATATATATATATATATATATATATATATATATATGAAAAAGTGAAGTCAAATATGGACGTCAATTTCAGTCCCTTTTCATTGCTTTGCCTGCGCGGTGTGCACGGAGTGAATTCGATTAAAAGAATACTATTATGGTTTCATGAACTGCTAACTTGATTAGCGAGACGATCCGTCAGAAAACGTGGAATTAGCTGGGAATAATGGCAGGTATTAAATCTGTTTACGACCTTCATAGCTATTGGACGTCGATTCCGCCATCTTGGCTTCACTTTCCTGAGAGCTCACTGGATTTATACTACTTGATTTGCTTATCATGATTATGTTAACCTACCTTCTATCACACGAAGTTCCAAAGAAACCAGCGGGACAAACACATTGATTTGGCGCCACACATTTTCCGCTATTTCTGCAGGCAGGTCGACATACCGCTGAAATACCAAGAACTACATGGTTTGACGAACAAATTTGTTTTCAGTATGCAACTTATTATAATCATTATTTAGTAAAGTAAGTTTTTCCCTGTGAGTGCACACAAAATTACCTTGGAAGGTTTGACAACTAACTATGATCCATAGGCGAGGCTAGCCATGGCACCTGGTCATGCTATACTAATAACCTGCATCGAAATAAGTTAAAGACAATAGATTCCTAAAGGTTTGAATAATGCAAATCATTAAAAATGTGCATAGTATGTCCTGTTGCTATGTCTAGCTCGCCACATGCAGCTATGATCACAGTGCGGGTTATGATAAGATGAATTTGAAAGATGTTATTGCACTTCACTTGGTTAGATCTTAAATAGTGTATATATGCTCACTTGGATTATCCGCCAAATCCGGCATTTAAATGTAATAACATCTTCAAAAATATCCTACCACTATCCTCTATTTCTAAGTTCTCTGGGCTTTTTAAATATTGACAGTTAAATTACGCAGTCCACTTGGTGTGTCAACTGTCAACGGCTACTGTTCTTAGACCTGAATTTTATCGAAAAAAGCTAGAGCCCAATTAATTAATGCATGTGCATTCTAGAGACTTTTTCCGGTCAAATGTGCTAGGTTTTCTGTTGTTTCTAGCCATGTCCGCGTGTTTCCTTTTTCATTAACTAGAGACACGAAATATTCATTTAAGTAAGGGGCAAGGAGACATTGGGCGAATTAGCCATTTCCCAAAGAGATCACACTCATCACAGTGCATTCTGGGATCGTTTGGAGGGACAAAATATATGGTGACAGGCGTCAAATATGTGAAAGAGTAGAAGTATCTACTATCAAATATTTAGACAACCAAAAGTGAAATATTTCCTTTTCGCATTAAAAATTTAATTTAAATGTGTGCTGCCATATTTCTTGTCCCTCCAACATGGGATTTGCGCGGGTAGACCTAGGACTTTGGGAAATGACTAATAGAGATGACCCAATGTCCTGGGGATAGTGGTCCAGGTCTTTGTGAGATTAGCAGCTTAAAATGATCAGTAGCTTTATTAACAATGCAGGAGGTCATAAAAACCTCGTATCCCCACTTTCTAATCTGCGCTTTTAAAAGTAAACATGCAAAAAGGCGCATACAGCCATTTTCGTCCAAGCACAAACCGCAAACATTTTCGCGCGTTTGTTTACGTTTGAAACGGGGCGTTTACCGTTGGAAACTGAAATGTTTCACCGCTCATGTGACGTGTCACATTGAAAAGCCTTAAGCTATTTTTGGCGCAACTGTCATGTTTTGATGTGCCTCCGTGCACGTTTCAATATGTCCAAGCCCATGATAATACATTTTAGTCACAAAAAGTATGAATATAAACAAGTTTGGTCGCTCTTACAATATCGTGAGCTTGGAAATACTGAAAAGTACACGAAAGCACATCAAAACATGAAAAATAACTGAATTAGGCTTTTCACTATAACACGTCGAATGAGCAGTGAAACATGTCCGTTTCCAACGGTAAACGCCACGTTTCAAACGTAAACAAACGCGCGAAAATGTTTGCGGTTTGTGCTTGGACGAAAATGGCTGTAAGAATAACGGATTCACTTGAAATATAGAAATCAGAGAGTCGCCATCAACCTACATGAACGGGCATTCTGATTGGTTGATCATAACGATAAAAGACAATGAACTATATAAATCATCATAACAACTGATCACTGTTGCTTCATGAAGCCAATCAGAAAACACGATCATTGTAGGTTGGTATTTACCCAAATCATGCAGATAGAAAAAACAATATAATGACTTACGTGTCTCACAACGAGTTCCTGAATATTTATGAGAACAAAGACAAATATTTTTCCTCGAACAACGACCTCCATTCAAGCATCCTGGACTACATTCAACTGAAATATAAATAAAGATAAAAGTCAAATTGAATACAACGTGCAAAGCCCAATTTCCACCAGGGGACAAAATCGCACGAAGCGAAAAACAAATGTCGGCAATGTATTTGCTAAGTGAAAAAATTCGCAAAATTTGTTTTTCACTTTACTTCGCGCGAACAAATTCTCCAGTGGAAAACCGTACAGACAGTGGTGTTGCAGTCAGCCGAGAAGTCCTGGGAACGAGGATGAAGCCAAACTAAGTGTTGCGACTCGAAATTACTCGGAATCTCATCTCCCCAACTTTGTTGCTTTAATTATTGAGAACGGCATTACAACTCGAGAGAGCTATTCCGCGCCAGTGGATCTATGTATATCTAATTATGTTTTTTAAATCAAATTTTAATTCAGTCTATTATTATTCTTAACAACTGTGCGCATTATGCATGAATTCGCTTGCTGTACTTTGCGAAGTAATAATAATTATTCTTCGCATACAACAAGGTCAACACTTTACTTGAAGTTCTACCAGATTTTCGTGCAATAGTTTTCAGGTTGCAGTTTGTTGTGTTTGATCAAGTGGAGTGGGTCAAAATGAAGTTCAGGCGAAGTACAGACATGATATGTTGAAGGTATGTTTGTGCTACATTCTCAGTATACGCAATATTCCCACAAGTAACAGTTGAGCCCTGGTCAAACGAATTCAAAATCAATATTGGATGATGTTGCACAATGTTAGATGAAAATTTTAAACAGAGTCAAACCTGCTCCATCATCTCCCAACATCGATCAGGCAACATTACCCAACATGGTGTTCAATCGAGTCCATGAACAATGTCGGATGATGTTGGACCAACATGTTGGCCTCGTTTGAACATAGTTAATAGAATAGATGGTTTGGACACTCATTAGAATAACGATATAACAATATAACTCATTATCTATGTTAGTCATCGTTTATTCATAAATATGTTCCTTCATACCGTCACGTGTGTATTGTATTTTCTCCAAATCTACCCGAATAGCAATTTCCAACTGATTTACCTTATTCGAGTCACGGATATAGTATGTAGCTTTCCTAAAGCATTGTTATTGGTTAGTTGGGCAAAAATACAATACGCACGTGACGGTAAAAGACCAGATTTATGAATAAACGTTGACTAACATAGATATGAGTTATTTTGTTCTTCTAATGAGTTTCCAAACCATCTATTCTATTAACTATTTTTTGAACGTGGCTTTAATTAAATGACAAATTAAAACATGATACAACGAAAACTATAAACATATATATCATAAGGGTTGCAGTATAAATGCCCTTGGGTTGGAAGTTTCCAGCAAAATGCCGGCCTTCGAGAAGTCGCAAACAAAATTTTAGGATTTATTCGTCAAGGTATCGGCCAGCCATTAGTGTCATGGTAGTAACTAGTCATCGAGTTTCAAATGGACATTTTAATTAAATTAACATCTTCATGTTTAAACAACCTCTTGAAGACGTAAAAAACGTTGTACTATTATGTTGCGGTCTCTTCCGGATTATCGGATTTTCTAGAAAGGCGGCTTTATATCATACATTACAGGAAATCTGTGTAGTTACGCTATGATAATAACCAAGGTCACGAATGTGTTTATTTTTACTATTAATTTGCGCCCCATTCTCCCAAGCACTTTGGTGGGCCCGTTCTATATTTAATGAGGTAGCGTGTCGCATGATAAATTGTGTTTCCATGACATGGATTTTAGTACAAACATACCGTTGAAAATTTGCCCGATGTAAAGTCAGACTTTGATGGGAATATTAAGTGCAGTTTAATTAACCTAAAAATTGGTTTAAATCATTCGAGTGTTCACAAATACTGGATTTCCATACCGCAATATTTGATAAGCCAGCTTAGTAACAGGATTTTGTGCAATTAATTGTAAATACCTTGAAATTAACAGCTGGAATACCGCAAAGTAAATAGTGCAAGGCAAGTTTCTCACGAACTTGTTTTTAAGGAACAAATAACATCCTGAAACAATTTTGATTGCATATTCAGATATCAAAGTTCATAAAGTGAAAAGAGGAAGAACGTCGATTTCACCACAAAACTTGTCGCCACAAAAATATCACGTGACAAGGGACTGGCATGTTGGATTCCTGCCAGAGGGTCTGTAGTTTCATTTTTGCAGCTGTTCTTGGTTAGGTCTAAAATTGCATATAATCTTCCGCTTGAAATTTCCATATACAAAAACTTTTCAACTGTAATTTCTATCGAGCGAGATGCCCAAATTTTGGAATAACCATGAGCTACAAATCCTACAATCCAGACCAAAAAACCTTGTGGACAGCACGAAATTGTAGCAATTTATAAGATAAATGGAATTATATATCACATGCATATGTGTCAAATCCCCACTCCCCCTTCTCAATGTTGCATCACAATATGATACACAAAATTTGCAGATGCGGAAACGATATCACAGCATTAAATTCCTAAATGCAAATGAAGCACATGTCTGCACATGGTTGTGGCCTATAGGTCAACATAACAAGAAAACTTGAGATTGATAGGGATGCAACTACCTGAAAAATACAAGAAAAACGTCGACGTGTTGAGGTAAGGCCAATCGTCGGGACATTAGTCAGCCTTCGCTCGAAACGTCGAAGTTCTCCTTGTATTTTTCAGGTCGTTGCATCCCTATCAACCCAAGTTGTCCGCTTATTATTGGCACTAGAGAGTTTGAGCAAGACAACGAAGTCGGACGACGACGACGTGGTTGACAATTTTTGCCTGTCTTGCACATTACCTTGCGCATTCTGAGTTTAGGGTCAGGAGTGAAGACAGATTAGAGATTCATGTCTAGCTGTTTGTGAATGTTTACTCAAATCCTTATCCTGATCAGAACAAAACAGCGAGACATGAATCCATATCCCGTCTTCGTTCCTGTGCCTTCGTTCACAACGAATATTTTGGCAAAATTCGTTCTGAACTTCGTTCTGCACGAAGACAGAAGGACAAAGACGGGATATAGTTTCATGTCTCGCTGGTTTTTTTCTGGATCAGGGCAAGAATTATGGTCAGTATTCATAAACAGCGACACATGGGAAGACACGTTGAGAAACCACTAGTGATGTCCAACTCAGTATGCGCAAGATAATGTGCGGACGGCAAAAATTGTCAAATATGCCTTCGTCTATGGAACTTCGTTGTCTTGCTCAAACTCTCTACTATCTACACTGGCACTGTGGCACAGACCTTTCAAGGTCAACACAACAGCTTGAGCAGATCATAACTAATATATATTAGACTCTAAAATTAAGTACGAAGACGTGCCGCAGTTAATTCTTCAATTTTTATGGTCTTTCGTTATGTTTATGCTATTTCCTTCAAGCTCTGCGCACTACTGAATGATGAGTGATTATTTAAAACTTTCCATCCTTTTTGTTATAGTATTAAGTATTTTCCAGGTGAATTTTATATTCGAATCCTTCGTTCTCATTTTCAATGCGAAATAAAGAAGGAACTGAGGCTTTTTAGTTTCTTGCGTGATAGACAACTACATGCATGACTAGTTTCAATCCTTGGTGATTAAGCATTTCCGGATTAAAGTCAATTAACAAAAGAAAGCAGTATTGTGTTTGGCAATGAAATTCATTGTACTCGAACCTCAAGTAGAGCAGTCTGCGAAGGCGAGACTCTTATTCCCAGTAAGAGTGCTCCGTAACTCCGTTGGACATATTTAAAAGTTAACGAAAAGAGTTTGATGAGCCACAAACAAGAACAAGGTATAGTTCATATTTTATCCATGATTCATTTTTATTAACTTTGCTATAAAGATTTCCTCAACATGTGTCAACCTAATTATACCAGAAACTGTGGTTGATAGGGATTCAACTACCTGAAAGATTTGTAAAACTTTCGACGTTTCGAGCGAAGGCTTTTCGTCACTAACTTCCCAACAAAAAGCCTTCGAAACGTCGAAGTTTTATTTGTGCTTTTCAGGCAGTTGAATGCATATCAATCAACAGTTTCTGTTTTTTTGTCACTATATATCTACGCTGGGACAGATCGTAGTCTACCTATAGTTATATCAATTGTGTAAGTATTTATATTTAGTTAATTTACAGCAAATTACAGAATAGAATTGAAAAATATTTTTACAGTCATGCATTAAGTCAGAAAATGGTGCACGTTGATCCGGAATTTTAATTATCAAACGTTTTGCGATATACTATATAGTTCTTGTTTAATTCAGCAAAATGCCAGCCAGTACGTCAGTGTTATACAGTGATACCTTGTTCGTGCATATAAGAATAAAAAAATTGTTCTCAAAAGACTAAAGCTGACAATATTTAAAAGAAAGTTTTCAGAAAAAATGGCAGTATACGACATACACTATAAGGGACACAGAAGAGCCATAAAATCGAGTATATATACTGGCTAAATATGCAATCTAGGCAAAAACCCTAGAAACACGCACGTTTTTTCCCTACGTAGGCTATTACTCCCATGCTTCCCTGATTCAACGTTAATTGTTTAACTTCAATTTTGTAGCGAAAAATCTAGGACAACTTTGCCATGACCGACACAATATTGAATGGAGGGTGCGGGTAGAGGTACCGTCGTTATATATATGGCAAACATGCATGCATGCATTTATATGTAATTGAAAACTTTCGCAATCGCTCGGGTAGTTCTACTAACTCATGGCCAGCTTGTAGTTTGAATAGTCATTACATAAAGAATTAATCATAAATTGATGTGTTTCTGCGATCAAATGGGTAGTTTTCACAATTGCGGGATCCGGATTCAACTCATGGAACAATAGGACTATTGTTTTATTGTTCTATATATCCATTAGTAGTAGTCTCCATTTTCTTGATATACATGTATTTTGTAAGCGTTGAAAATTTTAAACTTTCCTGCAATAGATATGCGATATTGTAATTTTATAATTTTATTATTGTAAAGTGCGCTTTAGAATATTTATAGTTTTAGCGCATTATAAATATTTTTAAATTTAATGGTTCCTTTGAACCAAATTTAATAAAAACGTAATTAATGCTACTTGCTGGAATTTGATTGGACTTTGAAAAGCAAACTATAACTATAATCAATATATCATATGCAGCATTACTGGACTGGAAATATTGATATGTGAAGTGACTGACAAATTGGTATGATGGTAGGCAGGTAAGTATAGATCTGTATGTATATGTATATGTAATGTAGGCAGTAGCGCAGCGAAGGGGCGGCAACCCCCATGTTTCTCAGAGTGTAGTTTTAGGTTCGTTTAAATTCGATGAAAAATTGTGATCAGACAGTGCTGCGCATCTTGCACACATCTAATCCATCTATATAAAGCATGTTCCGAAATCATTATTTGATACTGTTAAAAGCGGATTTATTACTACATTAAGATTTTTTCTCAAAGTGCCTCCACAATGCAGGAGACCCCCTTATTAAGTATCCCTTAAATAAAATTCACCACACTATGTAGATGAGAGGTATGGGGAAATACAAGGATTTTGGGCACGTCACTCGAGATGTATATAAGGGTTTTATAGATGGAAATTTCTAGTGAGAATTTAATACATTTATTAAACCTAACCAGGAGCAGCTGCCCTTTGGCAAGAACCGAACTTGCAATAACCCATAGGTGTACGGGGGGGGGGGGAATCAAAACGAAGTCGAGCAAATTATAAACGTAATTCAGGCAAAAATCGGGGGAAATAACTTTAAAAAGAAGACATATGCAATATAGTATTCGAAAATACCAGAAATATGTAAAAGTAACGTGATTTCGACAGTTCATGTAGATGAGGTACGCATGTATGTAGACCCATGAAGTACAGCAATATAGATGAGTAGTGTCTAAAGCAGATATGTGTATAGATAAAATATATACTGTAAGTATTAAAATATTTTCCCATCAAAACACAAAGGGCTGTTCCAAAATCTATATTGTCTTATTAAAAAGTATTTCAAATTGGATTTTAATAATACAGGAAATGAGCATGCATTTTCAGATTTTCTTACATTCTCACCAAAGTTTAAAGAGAAATAAAAATATTTCTCGCAGGGCATGTTTGCTAAGTACAAAAATATTTCTGTCTGCACTCTTATGCACTGCGTGTGTCCTTATAAAGCTCATTTAGCCAAAGGGAGAATTTTTAAAAATTTTAAACTTTTTTACAGCTTCCAGAAATGAAAACAGAGTGCTGCTGCCTTGACAGCTGTGTTTTTAAGTAGTGTAGAGAAACTGTCAATACGTGAATGGTAAGTGTGAATAGTGATTTTTTAGCCTTTCGTGTTCTCTTATATATTTGACATTATTGTCTAATCCGACATCAATAAGTTTAGATCTGATATTTATGAGCAATCGAATTGGAGCTCTGATTCAAAACAGCATGTAGGTAGACCCTATAGGTACAATACAGTCCAAGCAGCAAACTAAATTCAGAAAAATGCGAATATGCCAAGTAAACTGATCGTAAATTGCGGGAACCACTGAGTATTTTAATTAAATGCAAAACAATACTAACTCTGAAAACGGTAAACATTTTAAAAAGTGTTTATTCGAAACAATTTTGAAAATGTTTACCGTTTTCGTTATTATTGGATATTGTTTTGTATTAAAACTGGTCGTAAAAGTGGCGGTTAATCAGTAAACGGTAGGAGCTAGGTTCAGTTTTAGCGCCCTGGTTCAGTCCGTTAACAAAAAATATTTGAACAATAATCAACAACTGTTCACAGATAATTGTAGGAAAATTGCAAGCAAAATATCATTCAAACACTCATTAATAATTCATAAGCTTATTGGCAAATCATGTCAACCATAATATGTCACGTGCAGTGGCTTTAAACCTGATAAAACATTCCTAATTAGTATTCTTTATATAAAGAATACTAATAAGGCAGTATATCTATTGAATTTGTAGTCGTGCATGTTTGAAGCCGTTTAATAAACTCGCAGGTCGTGTTTTATTAGGTCTAAAGCCACTCGCGCTGCGCGCTCGTGACTTTAAACCTAATAAAATACTCCTGCTCGTTTATTAAACAGTACATAAAACACTAGATATTGGTAAGCCCGTGTACGTATATCAGTAGACATTCATGAAGATTTTGGGCATCTCGCGAAAAAATGCACCTCCCAGAGGACCTATAGTAGCCTGCGCGCAGGCTAGACCTATACCATAGTTGGAACAATATCGGCAATAGGCAGTTACATAGGTACTAATAAATACATAGTTGATTAAGTAGAATATCTGATATTATAGATTTCTCCAGGAACAGTATGAGAACCCAATTATCCAAAAAGATATTTAGATCTTCTTATTAAAACAATTAAATTGGATTTACTTATAAGGAAATTGTCTCACATTCGTAATGAACATATATTGGTGAAATAAAAATATTTCTCTCAGGGCATTTGTGATATAAGTTCTGATTCAGCCACTGGGCAAGTTTTTGTTTGGACATATTCGGGCGACAATATTCGTAAGGATACTCTAGTTGCGTTTACACAACATCACCCGTATTGTCAGGACACGTTTTTCACCACATACATCTACGCAAGTATTTTGTCTTCCTAGGAAAGGTTGTTAGTTTTAAAATGTGCCGGGAAAATATTTGTCCAGTGCCGTGTAACTATAGTGTAAACGCATGCAAAACTGGCCAACTGGCCAAATATTTGTACGGATTCGTTCCAGTTCCCTAAGTTTACACGCCGTCGCACGGTGTAGTGTGATTGAATGTGATCTTGTGAATTTATTTACGCAAGTTTAATGAAATATTTGAGGAAAATGCATGGACAATTGAAATCGAAAACTACTTCTTACTTTTGTTTCAATATTTTCCCTTAGACTTGGCAACTGCCCCCCCCCCCCCCCCCCCGTACACCTATGGGTAAGAGCTCAACAACTGGCCTACATGTGTAGCTCAGTTAGTTAGCTGTTAGTCAGAGTGCTGCAACGGGCAGCTGCTCCTTCTTAGGTCTAATAAATGTATTAAATTCCCACTTGGTTATTTCATGCTTAATATGGCCTCAATATTTCCAAAAACCAACTTTGAGCAAAAAACACAAACGGAAACATCAACTTTCTTACTAAATGCCAAGATAACAGCATTACAACAAAGTTAATACGCTGGAAGAATCTTGATATCGTTTAAGGCAGTAGATTTTCTTAAATATTTCAAGCTATACTTAGCCATACCGATTAATATTGTTAAAGTATACGAAGACTTCGAATATTCTAAAAGAAAATAGTAACGTCCAATTATACTTCCAAAATTTTGCCGAACAAACACCTAATTTCCGCCGCTGTAAAATAGGAAAACCAAATCGTGTGAACACAACGATCACAAATTGTTATCCGGACTATAAAATTTGCTTCGGGTGCCGTGTAAATGGGGTCTTAGTAGTAAGAATCAACTTTTTATTTCCAGGAATGCAAGTATATAGTTATAAAGTGTCTCCATTGTGTTGACATGAGAAGATTTGGGAAAACAGGTTTGGGAAAATAATGAATCGTCGTTAACGCGGTTGGTGAGTGATTTAATTACAGAATAAATACTCTATATAGTAATGAAAAGAGATAGATGTATGAAATCAACATTAGTTAGGTATGTACAGCGTTAATAAGATCATCCATTAGATCACCGGGGGTTCTGGATAATGACGGAAATCTCGGTTGATGTGTGGGGAAACCGCACCCTAACGTTAGTGATCGAAATAGAGTATTGTCGGACATTTTGTCCTGTTTGATTTTCTGACCTTGGATGTAAGTTACAGTTTGGTGAGAATGTCAAAAGGCTTTTCCCTCCATTGCAACTGCAAGTAAATAACCACTACTGGATAAGCTGTATGGAGTAGAGGAGTTACTTTTGAACCAGAAGTTACTTATTAACCTGGGAATTTTTTCTCTTCATATAACCTTGTATTTTTGGAGTAAGAAATCATCGGTCATTAGAAATCTTGGCACTCGAAATCATTTATATTAAATGTACAATATGATACAATCTTCCAATATATAAAGAAAAGCATAGTTCTCCGAACTTACATCACGTTGCTGTGTATCAAAAGTTAGTCATTTTAAGTATAATTATATGAACTATAAGATAAGTGTTCTCTAGTCCCCCATGTCTTACTGCATTTGTACAAAGGTACCAAGTGTGCATAATACAGTAAATATTTAGGTATCCTTCATAGCAATCTAGTGATAGCACTCAAAGCAGAGCCATCATGCATGGCTGGTCAATAGCTTAAGTACACACATTCAAATACTGGAAATATTCCTTTTTATATAGGATTGATCTTAAGGACCATAATCCCGGCAATTAGGTCAGCTCTGTTTCTAAGTGTTGATGTAGAGAAATATTTGTTGCAGCTATTAGTAAACGGCCAAGGTCAGTCCCATTTCTCAGAAATATTTCCTTACAAAAATGTCTGTTCTTTGTATAAGATAGTTTGATAATAAGTGCTCTAAATTGACAAACCTTCAAGTGGGCATATTTGGTAAGCACAACATACCGAATCATGCGGGTGTTCGCCTTGATCTTAAATTTTAAAAATGCTCACGGCATTTAAAAAAAAAGCCTGGAACTTTCACATCTCGTTTTACCATTAAGATGAATAGCGTTATCCGCAGTAGCTAAAAATAGATTATCAAAGTGAAGACCCCCCACGAGACTCAGACAAACAAACTAACATTTTGTATAGAATTGTACTAGCAGCGAACATAAATTGGTTTAAATTGACGTTTTTATTTATTTTATCTGTGCTAAAACGAATTCAAATTTATCCCAAATTACAAACATGGTTAATGCTAAGCACTGTTGCTGGGGAACATGTCCAAGTGATTCGAGATACTAAGAAAAACTGCCGAAACAGGGAATTGAAAAGTCGGACGGGACGGGAATGTCTGCAGTAGCAATGTGTTGATTGTTATTGACTGCGGACTGTGCTGGTTTTTCTCCAAGAACTCTCGCAGCTAACCATTTTCCCCCGTCAATACATCCAGCGAATGATGCTTTCCCGAACTCGCTGAAGAAGAACTTGGCGTTTTATACCGCTTTGCTATAAGCCGGCCTCTACATTTTAACCTCTGCTTGAGTTTAAAGCCTGGTTCACATATATGCCTGCGACGTGCCTGCGACGTACCGACGACGATGCCGGTGGTAGCTTAAAACGTGGATTATGTGAATATTTGTTCGCCGATTGACTCCAGTGCCTCAGTTACATCGGCGGTAGGCCGGGAAAGTTGACTTGAGTTCAACTTTCCCGGTATTTCGGCGGCAAGTTGAGGCATAATGATACAGTCGCAGGCATGCCGCAGGCATGCCGCAGGCATATGTGAACCAGGCTTAATCGACAGTATAAGCAGATGGATCATGCTCAAAATATGAGTCTGGGACGCCATCGTTTTCAGTGAGAGCGTCTGTTGTTAAATTTATGACTGAGAGAGAAGCAATAGTTTACCAGACAGTGTTAGGCTATTAATTAACACAGTGTTAAAGGGCGGTTCTCTATTTTACAAAACGGAATATTTAAAAATAGATAAATAAAAATGTTGTTTTTCTAATAACATATTTTTGTTGTATTGTCAAAATAAAATAGTTTTACTGGTCAACGGAAGATTTTATATTTGAGATTTTATATAGTTTGTAGTTTATCTTTGACATTTTTTAAAAAAGTTTAAATTTGAAAGTATTAGTTTTAATTACATTCCTAATAAATCCGTATTTTATAAGTTGAATATGTAGTCAATAGATTATAGTAAACAATCCTAGCTTCTTTGGCTTTGGACTTTGCTATTAATTATAGAGATGTCTAAAGTAATAAAATAATGCACACTAAAGCGAGTATTAAAATATAAGTTAGTATAAACATGAAATCAACAACATTAAATAGGGAACTTTAGAACTGATTCGCTAGGGCTACGAATTAAATCTGGTACGACTACGAGATTTTTTCGGTTAAATATCTGCTACTACAGACTTTCTATCGCCCTTTCTTTTGCATACCCTTTCTTTATGGCCTCTTTTATAGCAACAGTTACGCCAAACCATGTACTATTATAATACAGTAGACACCGCTTATGATAGAAACGACGACAGTCGATACTAAAGTGACGAAAAAGTGTATATTTCTACTTCCAAAGCAAAAATATTTTGCACTGGCACTTCAGGTAAAGCGAAAAGTACAAGGTGTGTATGATTTCGCACAAATAAACTGTAAACAAACATCAAACTATCAAACTAACTCACAGGAAGCTCTTAATCATAATACTATTTATATTAAATGTTGCCAATGTTTGTCTGAGTCTTCGCGGGGGGTCGAATTTTCGTGACGTCAATTGCGGACAACGCTATTCATGATAGGCGAACGACTTTGAATAGAGAATCGTAGGAATTCAATGTAACCATAACCAATGATTAAAGATCCAGTACCCATGCATATCTGTATATATTTACAGTAACTAGCTATAATAACTGCTATACTATATATTTAGGAACACTGGTTACCGTCCTTTAAAACATTACAAATTAAACAAGTACTAAATTGTTCAGAGCGTATGTTTGAAATGGAAAATTAGCAGCAACTTTTAATTTGGTTTTAAACCTACTTTTTACATCAATACACGCATTTAAAGTAAAATTTAAATGCAACTAAACCACGTCATTAGTAATAAATTCAAGTTGCAAGTGTATTTTTTATTTTATATAGACATTTTTTACACATGCACAAACCTGAGCTTCATGCAGTTTTTTTCTGCTACTACAATTTGGCAGCTTAGGACTGCACTCGTTTTTAAAGGCACTATAGATTGACAACCAACACTGTAAACTGGAAGGTTTTGCCATCATACATGCTCTCTTAAAATATCTGGGGCCGGTTGTATAAAACTCTTAATCACTTTTTTAATCACTATTTTGTAGTAACTCTCAAATACGATCTTCTTATTGGATGACGCTTGCACTTAATTATAGTTAACTTTAATCACTTTTTTATACAACCGGCCCCTGTTATTTCCCAATGTCTTTAATTTAAATCATTTAGTCTCTGTCATCGTCGGCATTGTAAAGCTAAGAATACCAAACAAGGTAACTGTGGAGTTATGTGCTAACCAAATGTTCTCCCACCAGATCAGAGCACTGAAGTTACAACTAAAATGGAATAAAACGAGTATCAAGAAAAAACCATCTTGAAACTTAATACGTAATCATCACAAATTTGTAAACTGAAACCAATATTTAGAGTTTAGTCGTATTTTGGGTAAACAATGGAGGTTGCCGCGAAATAATGAACCTCGTTCTCATGCTATTTCCTTCCACGAAAGCCGAGAGTTGTTCCTAACAGTTATTGCTATAACTAATATATATATATATAACCGATATGGGTATAAACTTTTTATTCACTGATTTGTATTAGATTTCCCGAAGTTCCGACGTTGAAAAAATGAACCTTTGCCAACCAAGTTTTGCTGAATTGTTTTACTAAATGTTCAATTTAATCATTGCAGATTTTAGAGAAAGTTATTTTAACACACATGCTTTCATCTGAATCGACGTCAGATGAATAGTTCAGAGTTATATTTCATATGATCATTTGAGTTTGTTGGACATAAGTACATAAGCTAGCATAATTATATTCTAATACACATGCTTAATCTGTTGACGATTTGCAATTTTCAGGTCTGATATAGATGAGCTAAAATACAATATTTACAGTCTTAATTTTTGTCTCGTCAGACTTGTCGTATTTACAAATCTATAAACATCGTTACAGAAATTTATATAATAGTACCACAATAATTTATCAGCTACCGTGCGCGCGCTCTATCTATTCTGCAACAGTAATCTTCTAAAACTTCAGAGTGCCCCATGGTGAAGACTATTCATTTATACCTGAGTACACAACACCAACACAGAAAAAATCATTTATACCAGTCAATATATTTGGTTAAAGATCCATGGCTGGAGATGATGCAAGGGAGTCTAGTGGCACTATACCCTTTAAACTGACGCAAATAGTTCACACAAGTCATATACCTTATAAAGACACGGATTGTTGGTTGGTTTCGTGTAAGATCCAGGAAAGAGAAACATAAAGAGAAGATGGAAGGTGAAGATCGAGACAGAATGATGCAGCAACATCAAGAGCATTGCTTAATGAGAATAGCGTTTAGTAAACAGAAGATAAAAGAAGAAATTAATGAAGCTGTAGACGCTGAAGATGGAATCAGATATGCAGTGGGAATAAGTGCATACGACTGAATGTTGTTAACAATGGAACCTAGAGATCCCAAAGATAATGCAAAGTTTCAGAAGACAAGAAAATAAAAAAACGGCCAGGTAGATAGAAAATCATAATGGGCATGGTACACGTCCACATTTTGTGTCCACATTTGGCGCTATTAAACGTCGGCTTTTCATATTGGGAACTTAAAAAGAAACTGTTAAACACTGATTTAATTTGCTTTCAAATTAGTTTAACATAAAAAGTGGTGAGAATGCAATTTTTGTATCTGTTGTGCAGATATATTGTTAGTGGAGTTTATTTTAGCCATTCGCTTACTATAGTTACTGGACTTTGTTAATAATATATCGTCTGATTCGTATCTGAACTCTGGTATAACTGAGTGATCATTTAATTAGTTCAAGATGGCTAGCTGACAACAAATGAGAGAGAAGTAGGAATCCGACGCCATTTTTGTTTTATTTTTTTGTAAGTAATGGGCGTTGCATTAATTGTAACTTTGTTAAGATGATTCAGTATTAATTTACAAACAAAGTTGTCCAGGAATTTGACTACAGTATGTCGGACAAGGTATCTCACTCTTGATTATAGCACATGTAACTTTAATTTAATTTGTAATCGAAAATGTTGGCCTTGCAAGTGGTCAAAAGACTGGAGCTTTTGCAATCCCCTCATGACCGGTCCTTTACCAGTTTAAAAAAATTGTATTATTATTATTTGTCCTCACAAAACTTCTCATTGAGTGATTTACTCTTTATGCAGCAAAAAGGTGGGGGATATCCCCTCGCTGCTCCATGGTCCTCCATTGGTTGCAACAGTGGCTGTGGAGGTCAGGGGGACCAGGTCTGCATAAGACTCTTACATGCGATAAACATTGTATTCAAATAAGATAATATAGTATGTGGTAATCTGAATTGGTACATTCGTTCTCAGTTTTAATTGATTTTGATATTTACCGTATTTGACTTGGACAGGCTAATATACTGTTAATAATGATTTCAACTGTCTCATAAAATCTACATTATTCAAGGGGGAGGGGCAGAAAAATATTTAGAAACTAACAGCCATTTCCTTGAGCAGATACATGTACGCTAAGTGTACCTATTTGTTGTGAAGATTAATTGAACGTGGAATGTGGACCACGACGTCACGTCAGTCAAAGACCGTAGACCGCAACTTGACGTCTTGTCAATTCGGCATGGAATAACAGCTGCCTTACGCAAAATTTTAGCGAACCAATCACTTTCGATTACGGCATTGTGATTGACACGTATAGTCAAGGCCGTAGGAAACGGGGAGGAGACAATAATTTCCATTTGTTTTAGCAAAACACACAACAGAACTAGAAAAGTGAGCAAGTAATTCAGCGGAGCCCGTTCTCAAAAACGTCTTGCATGACTAAATGAAAGAGTTCGCCAAAAAGCTATTCAGAGGAGTGTTAGGTTTAAAATGTTTGAATAGTTTTCAATTGAAAACTCCATCATAATTCTTATACCTATATAGACTGGCATTATAATATAATAATAAATATAATGGATGTCGTGAAATCCAACAAGTCTTGTCATACAGCTATTTCAATTAAGGTTGTCCACGAACAAAGCGAGAAAGTCGAATACGAGCGCGAAAGGCTGCTGGGAATCGCTTTCAAAATTCATTAATTTGTTAACGATTCCCAGCAGCCTTTCGCGCTGGTATTCGACTTTTCCGCTTTGCTCGTGGACAACCTTAATTGAAATAGCTGTATACGGTTACAAAATTTCATAAATAAGAACTGGAAGATGACTGTCAGAATATTAAAAATGATGATGATTATCTGAATGAGTTTATTATCAATGATTGTAAAGAAACATGAACAAAATTGATAAATTCTTTCATTATGTTGAAGTCAAATGTTCAATGTTTTCACCAGCACACTTAATTACATTGAAAAGGCATGCGAGGTAGTATTTGTGATAGCAGATACTAGTTCGATACTTGGGCCACTGACGATTTGCCTGTTTTGCATCATAGCAAAAAGCCCGGTACAGATGCCCTCGTGGTCTCTATAGACTATACTTTACAAATTACTAGTAGAAGAGCATCTCAGTTGCAATCGTTTTATACTAATGTCGTGAATGTCGCTGTATAAAATCAAAATCATGCATGGTGAAACAATTTAAGCGCAATTTGCATGGTCTCAATCTTATGAAAGTAATGTAAAACTGTAGTAGTACGAACACTACAAAGCTTCTCGAGTCAGTTCTTGGAAAGGTATTGGACAAAAAACTAAATCAGTCAGTGAGGATAGTTCAGTGAGGAGTGTTCAGCTCGGTTTTTAGTATGGAGGTGGCAGAGAGGACTGATAGGCTGAGAGATGTCTGAGGAGAGATGGGCTGAGAGATATATTGGTGATGAAATAAAAACAAGACACAGATTCGAGGATAGAGGACGCCATTAGTGGAATGAAATACACTGTAACTAAGAAAAGAAAGCGAACCAGTCAGAGGAATTCTCCCGAAGACAAATGGAAACCGCGGAAAGTAGAGAAGAGATTGACGGGATGTCTACAAGACCTAAATATAAAGAAACTGACAGTGGGCATGGCAAGTGAAAATAAAGGATGGTAAACAAGAATCTGGCCAGCCAACCGTGGGTCTGACACTAGACATAGGCAAAAGCACCACGTTAATAATTCTGTTAAATTCACTTACATGCTGTATATTAAGCAAATCAAAAATTACAATATTATGCTGTCCTGCCATTGTGCACTATTGTGTTCAAACGTGTACACAAATATCACTCGATAAGGAAACTATATGTTATCAATATATCTATCATGTTTGCATTCCATTCGCCTAATAAAACATTAATGAACTAACTTCCCGACGAAGCTAGGGCCTTCGCTCGAAACGTCGAAGTTCTCCTCGTGTTTTCCAGGTAGTTGTATAGGTAGATCAATCCGAGACGTTGGATAGACGACAGTGGTTTACAACGTTGTTCAGTTACAACAAAGGATATCGCCATAGCTCTACGCCCAACCACATTATTGCAACATCTGACTGGTTTCGGAAAATCCATTCGATATTCATTTATTTGCATTTACGCTATCTTACACATTACGGGACAATACAAACGTTTGACTTAGGGACCATTCATTATTTATGACCGGGGGTGGTGTGGAAAAATTCAATTAACAACTAAGAAAAATATCCTGCCCCCTGCATAAAAAAATGAACATATGTTTCAATTTACTGGGGTGGATTTGAAGTTTGTTTTTTATCATCCATTTGCGCGTATATTTTCAAGATCAATATTTACCTTGTCGACAAGGTCAGCGCAGTCATTAGAAGATGCAAAAATTTCCGTGTCATCAGCATAGAGTGAAGGAGTTGAGTGACATAACAAATCAGGCATATCATTTATATATAATAAAAATAGTAGAGGACCAAGGATGAATCCCTGTGGAACTCCGCATATTATCTTTTTTGGGCTCGATAGTTGTGCGTTTATAAGACATTGTTGAACTCTGTTATTCAGGCATGATTCGAATCATCTTAGTTGGTTTCTTGTTACTCCGAAAAAATTACGCATTTTATCAATCAGAATTTCATGATTTATGAAGTCGAAGGCTTTTCTAACATCAAGAAAGACTATACAATTTAATTGTCCACTATCATTGTCCACTATCCATGTTTTTAAGTAAATTATCACACATTTGTAGGAATTAATGCAGACAGGGTTGGGTGTTTAGGTCTAAACCCAGATTGGAATTTAGATAGTAATGAGTTATTGGAAAGATTGCCATAAAGCTGTCGAAAAACCTCTCTCTCAATGGGGAGTATGGACATTGGTCTATAATTTTCACATTTCCGTCGATCTTCAGATTTGTAAATTGGAATTACTCGCGCGCGCTTACAGTCATCAAGATAAATACCAGTGTCAAGTGATAAATTAAATATATATGTTAATGAAGGGGCAATATAATATCCGTAGAGAGTATGAGAACATTGGCAGGAATTTTATGAAGGCTAGTAGATTTGTTTACCTAAAGGTTCATTAATGCCAGGACAATGTTATCTACATTAATACGATGGAAATGGAATATCGTATCTGTTGTAGGATTGGAATTATGGTAGCTATTCGTAGTATGTTGAGCAAGAGGGTCTTCACTTGCTTCAGAAGCTATAGGCTAGGGCCAATGTTAACAAAATATTCATTAAATGATTCAGCGATTAACTTAGAATCGGTAATGCTGTTATCATTTACTGATATTTCTGTAATAGTGGTAGATTTGTTATTCCTTCCAGTAAGGGAATATTTTTGAAATCATTTGAATATAATGTACAGTTCCCTATCTCTTTGTGATAAAAGTCAATTTTTCTTTTACGCATTTGCTTATTCCTCTGTTCCGTAGAGATTTGTATTTATCCCAGTAAATTGATGATTTAAATCTAATGGCTTTCTTTTTATGGTAATCTCCATTCCTCATTAGTTGCTTAATATGGGACCGAGTTAGCTTTAGTTCTCCTTTGGCATAAAAATTGATTTCCATACAATCCAGCATGTATTGGGATCATCGTAGCAAATAGTATCCCAGGGACAGGGTACCTACAGTAAATCAGCGTGAAATTGCGATTCAGAGAAGTGTTTGAAATCACGGAATTCTTTTATAGTTGGTCTAGATTTAGGTAATTCAAATTTCCTTGCAGCATAGACTAAGCTGTGATCGGATATACCAAGGTGTAAAACACCAACAGTCGAAATATATTCAGGTTTATTTGTTAGTATTAAGTCTATCAGTGTGGATGTTGTCTCCGTAATTCTCGTAGGTTCATTAATGACTTGAGTTAATTGATATAAAGAGCTTAAAGTTTGCTGCTTATGAGTGTGTGAATCGGGAGTTGGTTTGTTAACGTCGCAGTTTAGATCCCAAACTAAAATTAATTCCTTATTTTCCATATCGCACTTAAAAAGAAACAATTCAAAGTTGGTAAATATATCGAGCTCCGAATTAGGTGGTACCAGGTAGATATTACAAGAGGCTTACTTTGTTGCCTACTAATCTCTACACATATCATTTCTAAATTATCTAGACCGCGAGTGGTAGCAAGAAACGAAATACGCCCACTTTTCTCTCTTGTTAAATTGGCTCTGCCTTTGCATAAACATTACTATATCCAATTAAATCTATCCAATAGGAAACCGTTAATCTCATGTTTATTTACAGGGTGTATAAAAAAAGGTAATCGAACTTCAGCGCGCTATTGTACCTGAATTACTCGGCGTATGAACATTTTTTTCATATTCGAAAAGATGAGGCTTTTAGCTGTTGAATGACATGTTTTCATGCCAAATGGAGAAAAAATAAGCAAGTACGAGTCCGATAAAAAATGTTAGTCAGAATATTACAACGGTGAAAATATGCGATCTGACTAGCATTTTTTATCAGATTCGTACTTGCTTATTTTTTATCCATTTGGCATGAAGAACATATCATTCAACAGCTAAAAGCCTGATCTTTCCGAAGATGGAAAAATCTCGTTCATACGCAGTAATTCAGACACAATAGCGCGCTGACGTCCGATTACTTTTATTTTGACACACCCTGTATAAAATCAACATTCACTCTGAAAATTATTTATAGCATAATTACTACATATCAGATTTGATTGACAGGCATATCGATTTCGACCAATGGGAATTTTGCGTTGTGTGGGCAACCAGCCGTTTCGCTATTTCTAAATGGGTACGTAGCCTGTATTCTAAATTTTAGAATGCGGGTAGTACCCCATCCTCGTTCCCAGGGCTTCTCGGCTGCCTACGTTGCCGTAAGCCCTGGGACAAGCCGAGACAGAAGTGATTTGATTGGTCGTTGTAAATAGAGTGAAATATGAAAAGTTTATTCGTCAAGTGGATGTTTATATTTGCAATATGGCTGCCTTCAAGGAGTGCGCCTTCGAAATACGAAGAAATACAAACGTAAACTGCTTGTTTTCTATGGATTAATGGAGATAATTTGCAAACAGAAAGAAAGAAAATAACAGAATGGACAATTATAAAGTAGAAGTAAGCAACAATATCGAAGAAACGTCAATTATGAAGCCATTAAAAAGTTTCTTTATTTTAACATTTTCTTGTTATAAAGTTGTCTAATTATTAAAACATTGTGCTCAAGTATAATTGTAAAATTTTATGCACACTGTAAATATAAAATGTTTAATAATATATAGTTACGATAGTAAAGTTTTAATGGTGTAATATATTGTGTTTTATTAATTATTATGCTTTTGGTATTGGTCACTTGGCTTATTTAATAGCCGCCTATATTAAAATGGCCCTATATTAAAATGGCCAATTGGAATTTATAAATATAGCATATGAAATATTATGGGTGTATTTTACTATTTCTGAATTTTCCTCAGTTGTATTATGAGTGAGTAATTTTAATAGCTTTTAATTAAATACAGTGAATAAGCTTATAAGCATGTTCAATTGCACCAGTCATTTGAATCCTTGCACCTTTGGCATAATGCAAGGACAATCGCCTCTTATTCACTGGTTTATCATTTTTTGGCAAACAGGGAAGACACTTACTTTCAGTGTCCAAGTCGGGAATGAATGAGGTCATGGGGGAGGGGGGTCACTTAGTCTTTTATATAAATGTTGAAGTAAAGCAGTCGGCTATATAAATGCTGAAATAACGCATTTGGCTAGGAAAGGCATAGTCTTTTATATAAATGCTGAAATAAAGCAGTCGGCTAGGAAAGGCTTTTACAGAACAGTAAAGGAATGGTTTGGGAAATTTCATGTAAAAATTCCAATTGAATACCTGAGGATGATAGGACCGAAGAAATTTACCTTGCCATTTTGTCGTGGCTGCAGGGGACTTCACTGAATTTCACACACCAAACTAAGTGAATGCCCCTGGTATGCCCAAGGTGGGGGTCTCGAATTCTTGTGTTATATTGGATGAGATCATGTATTTACACTGTTTCCTGTCAACAGTTCAGAATAGAATACTTATTCTGTTGACTTATTGCAAATCTTGTAAGAATTGAAATTATAAAATAAACTATTAATATTGACAACTGAAAATTTGTATGTGATATGCAGGCTTCTAGCCAGGAGACACCCTACCATGTCTGTATAAAAATTGATTTTAAACCATTACAAAAATGACATAAAAGTTGTATTGTATTCTGAAATTCTGGTTTAAGCCTCCTGCTATAGATACAGTCTATTGAACTGGAAAACTTTTCATATTTTTAATGTGGAAATGTGTAGTAATCTATTTATAAATCAGAATGTTAACCCCACCTCCCTTACCATCACTCAGGTATACATCCTGTTGTGGTGGAGATTTAGATTGGACCCCTGGATAGATATTAGAAAACACTTAGTCACACTTCTGGATAATGAGGGGGCAATGAACTCCCCGATGTGAAATTGTAAGAAATTTAAAAATTGACCAGTGATAACTTGACATTATGTATGGGAGTCAAATTTGCTAACATTACCCTCCAATCATTGGCTATCCCATTCGGCCTCAAATGATTTGGCCCCTATCTGAAACAGAAGGCACACTTGCATGTAGATTAAAATATATTGGAATGCAGAAAATATTGTTATACTTTAATCTGAAAACAAAAATTTCCCTGAAACAATTAACATACATTGAGCCATACAGTCATGCACATAGTTTTGACTGTCAGATGTATCAAGCAGCATAGTGAGTTGCATTCATGTCCAAAGACATATTAGGTTAATTATTTTACATAATTATTTTTCTTCATTTGCCACAGCATGTAATCGGTGAAGGATTCAGGATTATCCCGCATGGAAATAACGTTTTAAACGTGCTATATACAGTAAAACGGTATTCAATATTCATACTACATGATGGGCATATGGCCAAACAAACACCTTGTGCTTTTTTGCTCAAATTTACGCACGCATGATTTTGTATACATATAAATATAGATTTAAATCTAGCAATTCAAATCCAAAACTCATGGCGTCATACATGACATCTATAATTTATATTTTCTTGAAATGTTAGGTGATTCATTGTTATTGCCGTTGTTGTAACCCAGTAAACAGACACACACCGCCGTTTAAACATGTCACATGTTCTTGTTCCTTTTAATATACAACATACGTCGATGGACGATAAAGCTTCGAATTATTTCTCTTTAATTTCCAGTCCGGCTTTGTCCAGTCTTTGAAGTGACTTTACAAGCGCGTGTTGAAACAGGTCATCTGTACAAGAACCCATGATGGTTTCGAATCACAGCGGCCACTTCGAGCACATTTCGACTCGATCATGTTTACATCATACATGAAAATTGATACATGTAATACGAAACCGAAATATGGTTGTATTTTGACGAATATTAACGATATAACGAAATATAAACCCCCAATATGTATAATTCCATTAGGTGGTCTGCACATATTCCCTTGATGGTGGAAAATACATCGAAACAAATGAAAAATCCAATATTTTCTGCTCACCAACACGTCTCCACTCCTCAGTAAAAATTAGTGCATAGTCAGCATTTTTAGCTTGCAGCAGAACGCGTTTACTTCCGGAAAACACCAGAATTTGTGGTGTTCCGGTTTGGCTTGTCCCAGGGCTTACGGCAACGCAGGCAGCCGAGAAACCCTGGGAACGAGGATGGTAGTACCCATGCTAGGTATATAACTGAGCATCCTAATCCCAACCCCCAACCCGACCCTAACCTCTAACCCCTAACCCCTAGAACCTAACCCCTAAAGGGGTTTTGCCACCCCCCCCCACCCACCCAGCCAACCGCCAGTTATGGTCGGTTTTATTTATAACCACCGTTTAAGCTAAACGGGCTTGATACAACCGGCCCCAGGACTATAGTCATAGATTCCAAGATTATAGACATAGACAATGTGATTATATTCTTGAACCACTTAGGATGAAAAAAAATTTATCCGGAATATTGGAAAATAAATTCTTTTTTTAGACTGAAGGAAGGAGGAAATGTTCAGTTGTTTGAGTTAAAACGTGATGGATGCAAATCTCTCTTATATCTTCTGTGGTCATACCTTCATAAATCTTCTCACATCAACTTGCCATGGTGATGGATGCAAATTATTGACGCATAGCTGCGGTGAAACGTTTTGTTGCCATGCATTTTTGTTTAAATAAATAGTTTGCTAACGTTAAAAATTTCTTTTTCCTATGTTCGTGTTAATTGTCAGCTCGAGGGCTATACAAATAGCTGTATCCCAAGGTTCTGCCAAAATGGTCAGGACACAAGAGCTACGTTTTATTTAAAGACAAGATTCAAACTATATAGCGGAATCCAAATTCAGGACAGCTTTCCGTACTTTTATAAAAATATTGTTAAGCATGCGTAGCTAGTTTACGAGTCCCGCCTTTACATTTTATTCAACAACCCAGTCGGGGTTGGAAGTATACTACTGAACACAGTATTACCATAGATTAGGAAACGAATAGATGGCTCACTCCTTTGATGTTTTTGACGCTGCCGGCACCCACGCGTGTTCTTGCCAGAGTAATGGCGGCCTAGCAAGTAACTGTAGTAAAATGCATTGTGAAATTGACATCGGTGCTACTAAATCCTGTATTTTTATAATTCTGATTTATTTTTCCATTAAACTCCCCGAAAGCGGAAAAATACAGGATTTAGTAGCACGGATGTCAATTTCACAATACATTTTATTATAGTTCTTGCTAGGCCGCCATTACTCTGGCAAAAACATGCGTGGATGCCGGCAGCGTCAAAAACATCAAAGGAGTGAGCCATCTATTCATTTCCTAATATATCTATGGTATTACGCGCAGTTACCTAAGACTCGATTTTCAGGTTTTAAGATTTTTATGTGTTTTCTTTCAGGAAAGATTGAATCAAGTGCAACAGTGTTCGAAATATGTAACATGTGGAACGGATAGAACATGTGCAACGGGCAAAAACGTGCATCATCTAAATCTGGAATCCCATGATTTTTTCAAAAACTTTTTACGCACTTCTTGACCATAATCAAAAAACAAAAACCAATTGACAAAATTTTTTTACCAAAATCAACGAGTTACTGAAATTATGCCACCACATGAAGTGACGACAATTTGATCGAGCACCAAAAAAACTTTATATTATAATGCCAAGATTATAGGGACCTGATTTTAGAGAACATTACTGTAATATTGTGGTATTATCCATTATATGGTATTACGGACAATCAGTAATATGCGATATGGTATTGTATTTGGCAACTAGTCCATGAACATTTTTTGCAAGAAAAGCTTTGCCCTATTTACGGCTTTTCAAAAACTTCTGAAACATGACTCGTGTTTTAGCCTGTTCAAGTATAAAGATTAAAAGAATGCAAAGCTCACTTCCCTTGTGGTCGTTTGAGCACTCTGGCCCCATTACACTCTGCCTATGTCTGGATGCGTTGATGCCATCGTATATTCGTATTGTATCACATTCCTTGGTGAGAGCAAGCTCGTGTGATATAAATATGAATCTATCACGTACCTAAACGTGTACCAAGCTGTATTGACAAGGCGTAGAACGCCGAAACATGCATGTCCGCAGATTATATGTAATTTTTGTGCTATTGTTCTATATTCAGGAAGTTTTAGAGAATCAAAGAATTTAAACTGAATTGGAAATTCGATTGTAAAAAATTTATCTTCATTGTATCATTATCACAACAGTAAAATCATCTCTAAATTCATAGGACATAGAAAATAAATTGTACATCTGGGTTTATTATTTTAAACTCGCGGATGACCAAATTTCTGGCATTCTCTGGAGAGAATTCGCTAAAGATCGGCGTCGCATTAACTAGCATCATTAAGAATTGAACACACCATTTCCCTTGTATCATATTTAGCGTTAATTTTATTTATATTAAACACTTTCCTCCCTCTATAGCTTCCCTTAGGAAGAGGCAGGAAATGTGCTTGCCCCACCCCCACCCCTTCCAGCATGGCATCCCTGAGCTTCGCTTGGGATAGTGGTTCCGTGCTGACGTATCCATTGCATAATCAGATTATTAACCTGACTCATCCAGGAGTTTATGACTGCAAGCTGGGAAGTTTAAACAGGTTAAAAATATATCTAGGTATTCTAAGACGTGCTACGTGCGTTTGGCATGTAAAATCAGGTGCACACTATAAAACTACGTGCTTAGCAAAAATTCACTCGTAACTACTTGCGTAAGCAAATTCCCCCAGTGTGCGGTGACGCTTTGAGGGATTTTCTTCACGCGTGCCATCGGCATCGAATATTCGACGTATTGAATAATTTTTTACATGAGTGACGTTTTCCTACGGCATGTAGTAAAACACAGACTACCGGAACACCGGAACACCACCGGAACACCACCGGAACACCACCGGAACACCGGGACACCACCATTTTGTTTGGGGTTAGGGTTTGGGGTTAGGGTTTGGGGTTAGGGTTTGGGGTTAGGGTTTGGGGTTAGGGTTGGGAGTTAGGGTTGGGGGTTAGGGTTGGGGTTACGGTTAGGTGGTGTTCCGGCGGTGTTCCGGTGTTCCGGTAGTCAGTGTTTTACTACATGCCTTTTCCTACAATTGTGCGCATAGAAAAAGAAGCAAACAGCTTACAGTATTATGCGAATACGTACGGGTATAACGTGCGTCTTACAAATTAAAATGGCGGCGAGTAGTATTGTGGTTGCCGAATACGCATGCGTATTCGCATAATATTGTAGGCTGTTTTCTTCTCCTGTGCGCACACTTGGAGGAAATCGCCACTCGTGCCAAAAAATATTCAACATGTTAAACATTCGACGCCGGCCGATGGCACGTATGAAGAAAAACTCTGAGAAAGTGAAAAACTCTGAGAAAGTGGCCACACATTGTGGGGCCAGTCACGGGTGAAATTTTGCTAAGCACATAGCTCTACTGTGTGCCAGGCTATAACGAAGAACGCGCGACTGATTTGTACTCCTGCTGCACAGGGCAGAACATGCATAAGAAAAACCCTTATAATACACGAGATCTTTTTTCTCTTAGAAACTCTTTTAACTCATAAATTATACTACATCACGTTCTCATGTTCGTTCGTCATCAGTTCTAGATTCATCTAGTACCAGATATTCCCTGACTATAATTGCTTTGATCACAAAAAGACCTGGAACACCACTTAACTTCAATGCGGGATCGTATAGAATTACTCATCTTAGAAATTCAAGAAGGCCTATTCAAGAAGGCCTATACAGTTATATTTTTCTCAAAAGTCTTTGTAAGAGTTGTTTTGTGTTAACCTGAACACTGACTCAAACAATTACAGTTTACTGATATGAACCGTGCGTTGCAGGTCTTTCTCTGTTCACATGCATTCCTATTCAACATTTGCACAATTACTGAAATGTGCCACCATACACACGTAGTAAGCGATGTTTTTATCAACACGGACATCAGATTGCCGAGGGGGGGGGGGGGCTGTATTAAAAACTGTGTTTGTATCAGTTTGTGGTAATCGTCAACACATATGACATTTCTTACACAAGCGCTATAATGCCAAATGCCGCCCAAATTAGTTAAACCAATTTTAGGGTGATGTCCGTGTTGACAAAAACGTCTCTTTCTTGAGCTCACTAAGATCTCTGTGCATGTTTTCAAAGAATTAACTGGAAACTATGATCTGAAATCTATAAGATCGTTTGGGAGAGTTGCTTGAAACTGAATGTCTATGTTAATATTTTCGCGCTACTTACCATTTTGACAGTATGTCCCACTTGTTTTGTTCGGACAGGAACATCTGTTAGGGAATGTACATACTCCTCCGTTCTGGCATTTTGGATGACAGATTGCTAAAAGATTTGAACTGAAGATAAAGATCTTTACAGTGTTATTGTGTACAATCTAGGTTTATATTTATTGGGTAAATTAGTATTTAACATGTTTTTTGTTTTGATAAAAATGCTGGGAAATATTCTCTTCTGCAGGTGTTATTAACTCACTATTCTGTGGGAAATTGATCAACATATTGTAAATAGTGTACTGTAGTTCAAAAGTATTGTAGTTATTCAACTTCGTTGTTCAATAGGGAGCTATTAAACAAATTCTCTAGTTCTCCTCTACAGTCGCAGTCTAGCTACCTCCCTAACTCCCTGCCTAGGATTTACCTATGTACCTACTTATCGATAATGATCTTTACATGCATGCATCATACATCTCCAGTCCGGTCAGATTAGACCAATATCTGTGAACCTACTGTACCGGACAACATATACCTCGGTGAAAGGTTAAGTGAAAAAGAAACGGTAATCTTACCAACGTTAAGTGTATCTCCTATCTAGTCTACCTTTGTACATACCTGTACTTACATGCCCAGGTACTGCTAAGATAAAGACGCGATGTCTAAATGGTCTTACCAATGTTACATGTATTTCCAGTCCAGCCAGATTTACAATTACATTTATTGTTGTCATAACAAACTCCTCCATTTAAACACGCCTTCTTACACAAAGCTAAATATGAAAAAATAGATTTCGGTTAGGCGTTTTGACAACATGGTAACAGAGTTTCTCATACATATAGCTAAAGAAATGAAAACAATTTTTTTATGTTAGTCGTTTAACAGAGCTTCTTAGATACAGTTGAGGCAACATCCTAACTTTCTGTCCTGAAGGCTCATTTACACTTGCAACTTTTGCTGTGATTTCTAGTACGATTTTCTTCTTCTGATGGATGTGAACGAGTGGATAAGTTATGAATGTTCAGATGGAGGTACATGTATTCCGAACATTCGTAACTCATCTACTCGTTCACAGAAGAAGAAAATCGCACTAGAAATCGCAGCAAAAATTGCAAGTGTAAACAGGCCTTAAGTCCCACATGCATAAATGGGGCTTGCATGGGCTTCGAGTAGAAATTTAGAGGCTGAGGGGCGTGGGAAATGCTGGAAAGTGGTCTCCACCGGAGTAAGGATTCGATTGTTTCAACTGTTTGAAACCGTTTGAAAAGCTATAAAAATACGGATATGATAATAAAAGGAAACTTTATAGATGCTAAAGTTTAGTCTGGTACGCCAATCAATGGATAATATAATCTTATGAAAGGCTGTTTTATCCCAAGTTCTGTTCACGCAGAGTTGTCCTTTTCCCCCACGATGCGGGATGCTTTGTCGGATTTTATGAACACCTTAGAGAAAGGCTGTTCTGTTGCGCAGGACTTTAACTTTTCAGACTTTACAGGTTGTCCCAAAATAAATGGAACTTGTCTAAATTACTTTTGTATTCACTGCGATGATCAGCTAATTATAATATACAGTAGTTTGATGACCTTGACACGTCTGAGACTTCAATTTTGTAAAATACACTGCAAAAAAGCTGCTGTGACACACTGATTTGGGTCACCAAATCTTTGAGCATCGGCATTTGTGTTATAAAATGTATTATAGTGCAAACAACAAATTCATAAAAATGGCAAAGTGTTATCGTAACCAAAATGTTCTAATTTACGCATAAACATGTACCCGCATTATATAAAAAAGAATAGTACGAATTTCCTTTCGCGTCGTAACACAGACGGCCCAATCTCAGAATGAATGATCAGGTGTTGCGGCTTTTTAACGGTTTTTATAAACAAATTTATAATCAACCAAAACTATTCTAAAAACATTCTCAAATTAGTCAAAGAAATACATTTTAACAATAAAATATAGTTGACATGATAGTACCTACCTTTGCATTCTTTTAATTACTCCATGAGCTCATTTAGAGCGGTTGATGTAACATTTTCTGTGGCCTACATTGTGTGTTGCGCATTATATATAATATAACAGTAAAAGGCCAATCATTGGCGGCCCGACCGTATCGCCTTCAAAGTCAAATATCTCCGCTCAAATTTGTCGTACGGCAAAACAAATTCGATTACATCTTTTCACAAAGATTTCTCTGTCTAAATAATATGGTTTGATCATAGCTTGGGCAAATTTAGCGACGAACGGAGCCAAAATCTCCTCAATTTCGGATATTTTCAAAATACTTATAGCTCCTCGGGCACGATCGTTTACGTGACGTAATCAATACATACTGACAATACCGCCTTACATGGGGTGGGAGATCTTTGTGAAAAGATGTAATCGAATTTGTTTTGCCGTACGGCAAATTTGAGCGGAGATATTTGACTTTGAAGGCGATGCGAGTAGATGCGGTCGGGCCGCCAATGATTAGCCTTTTACTGTTATATTATATATAATGAGCAACACACAATGTAGGCCACAGAAAATGTTACATCAACCGCTCTAAATGAGCTCACGGAGTAATTATAAAAATGCAAAGGTATTATACTGTCATGTCAACTATATTTTATTGTTAAAATGTATTTATTTGACTAATTTGAGAATGTTTTTAGAATAGTTTTGGTTGACGTTAAAAACCCGCAACACCTGATCATTCATTCTGAGATTGGGCTGCTGTGGTCGTAATGTAACGAACAAGCCAGCAACGGTAGTAACCAATCAAAACATCGCATGCATTTAGAGCCTTTAAAATGTTTCTTACATGAAGTACATCATTGAAAAAAAGATGGCGGGTTGTTTTTAATTTAAAATATTTTTCAACGAGCGTATTTGATTCTCATTCTGCAAGTATGCTTTGTTGAGTATCTACAATTTATGCAGAAGTAGGACGACCAAGGAATTACGGGTGAGTTATCGAGATACTGAATCAATGGACTAAAGTTGAAGTCAGTTATAAATCACTAAATCAGGTGAAAATTATGCTGATTTAAAATAAAATGATGTTTAATTTGTTTACCACGAGGTAGGTAACCACAGTATCAGGTCAATTTACAAACAGAGTCTGACTGGTCACTAAAAATAACCACTATAATAAATAATGACCACTATAAATTTCACTCTCCACCCAAAGTGAAATTTATATTTTGCATCCCATAACAACAACAGTTTACAACACCAATCTCGTTATAGTTGAAACTAGGTTACATACAGTATAAACCAATAAATAAGATTTTTTGTCTAATAGACCAATCAAATGAAAGGCTAAAATAAAATTAGTAGGAGATTCGGCCTGCCATCCCCCCCAATGTTTCTAAAATATAGAAACTGAGTAATGTTTTTTTCGCACACTGTTGTTTTCATAAGCTGCCATGAACCCTATTTATGTCAATTTGCGTGTGCTACATAAAACATTAAAAGGCATTATCAAAGTTAGATGGTTTTAATTTTTTATGGAAATTTAAAGGAAATCTGAAGTGGTCCTTGCAACAACAAATTCACGGACTATTTTGCTATTTGGATTTTGACAAATAATAATTTTGACGGTCTTTGATATTTCTTTTAATATGGTGGGAAGGAATTTACGCCACTAGATCGTATTTATTTTTCCATTTTCAAAATAAAATTTTGCGTCCACGATAAATCACGTGCAAAACGTGTTTCCATTAGCCATTGAATGTGCGAAGACGTAGCCTATGCGCAGTCAGACCGTGTGTAAATTATCATTAGGGAGCTTTAGCGAGCTACGTTTTCTATCAACACGGATGTCAGATTGTCGAGAGTGGACTGGATGGTGGTAAACATGTAAGACAAAATATAAGATTTTTAAAGCTTTTTGCTTCCTTACACGAGCGCTATGAGGAAAAATGCCGTCTATTAGAAAATGTCTATTAGACAAAAACGTCGCTTCCTTAATTCTTTCATTACATCAATTACATTATAATTACGGGTTTTTCCCGTACAAAAAAATATACAGGTACAGGCTTGCGCACTTTAATTGTTTATATATTATTTGTATTATTGTATTATTATTTATTTAAATGAAATCATGGTTTCCGATTGACTAACAGGCAACGGTGAAATCGTGATGTTAATTACGCAACGGGTGACCAAACATGAGGTTGTGACGTCAATAGTGCAATATTAAAAAGTCACGTGGTGCACTACAAACAAATAATATTGCGCGTTATGACGTTTTGCTAAGCGAAGTTATTTTTCGACTTTAGCCAGTTTGTTGTATATCCAAGCGCATACACATTGTTTAAATTTGTTCACATTAGCTTAAATATACATGTAACCTGATAATACAGGCTTCTTGCAACCCAATTTCTGAAGCTCTTAAATTAAACTTTATCTGGCAGATTTCATGTTATACGGTGGTTTAAAGCAACTTAAACCCATCTTATACAACTGGTTGCTGTTTCTCGGTTTGTGTTATCTTGTGTTATCTTGTGTTATCTGGTCACCCATTGCAAATAATTTTCTTTAATGAAAAGTATGAATTCGTCGTATGCATGATTATGAATAATAATAGGGAAATTCAATTATTAGAAATAAAAAGTGAATCACCATATTGACATCGATAGCCAGAATATCCTTTTCTGCAATGACATTTGTTTGGAAAAATGCAAACTCCCTTGTGCATACATGATGGTCGACATGCAGCTAGAAATAAAAGTAATATTTATTATTTACTTTGTGAATTACGTTTCTTTTATATAACTAAAAAAGATAAAAATATTTTTGAAAAAATCTAGGCCATCCCCTGTATAAAATTATAGGGAAATTATCCCTGAACTGCACTAAGGAGGAACTGACCACTTTTTTACTTCGCAGTACGATTCACAGTATTAATATCAGAAATCTCTGCCCCTCCTAAACCAGAACGAGGCAGGATTTTAATTGAAACAAGCCAACTCATTCTTACAAAAATTATTGGATGGAATCAAACGTTGAAATTGCCTATTAATTAATTAATTAAACTATTCGATTCAATATATTTAATTAGTCAGAAAAAAATGTAATTTCAAAAATTTTGAAATGAACTCGTAAAGCTGAAAGATTACACCATGCATGCGGAGGACTGTGTGACTTTGTAAAGTTATGAATTCAAGACTAACACCCTTGTGGAATATGTTTCCTCCGTATAGGGAAATTTCTTATGAAAATTAAAGATAAATTCTTACGTGTACACAGCGGTGGAATGTATCCAGGTCTACATGTACAGACTCCAGGTTTCACGCAAACACCGCCTCGTTGACAGGATGGACATGTCGCTGAAAAACAAGACATTAGTTAACTTTAAAAAGTTTATCCCAAAGATTTCTCTCAAAATTACTTCTATCTTCTTACAACAGCGAAAGAAAAAAATACCAAATGATTAATTAATCGTTTGTAATAAACAATCGAGAGTTAGAACTTAATGATTATTCTTCTCCTAATCTTACGGCTGGAAAAGACGTTCGACATAAAATTAAAATTCATCTCATACATGCAGGTTCGATGCATGGATATTGTTTTGTCCACTGTTATTTTTCCTGCTTGATAGTGAGATTATGAAACAAGTCGCGTCTTTGAAACATTCATATTTTCGATCACATATAATACTACCAGCTTCGCAATGGAAGCCGGCACCCGGAGAATTTCTCTGCCTAAGCGTATAGACAATCGCCGGTTGTTTCTCAAAATTATAACACAAAATATTTCCTCTTCAGTAGGCCTACTGAAATATTATAGAAGAAAGACTTTTACATGGTATTAATTCCTCGTTAAACATTTGAAGAATATGGCATACCTGTAAAATAGCTGTATGTGGCTAAGTTTTTTGAATTTTTGAATTTGAATAGTTGAATTTAGAAAAATCTCTATTAAAGGACACTCCAAAGTGGCTGGTATTGCCATTTCAGATGTGTATTGTCTGAATTTCAATGGTCTGAATTTTTCGTAGGAAAACGTCTTTAGAATGCCCATGTGGGTGATACCTTCGGACCCACATAGCCGCCTATACTTCGTTCAAAAAAACCTACCACTCTAAATTCTTTTTGATACCTTGTATTATGAGTGATATTATTTGTTATTATTATTATTATTATCCTCATCATGGTTAGACTTGCTTCAAGTTCCTCTCGAATTGGCTTCATACCGTCTATCCAGTCTGTTATGAGATAGCAGTTTCATTTTCAATTGGTCAGACCAGTCTATGAGATCTTGAACTGATAACAGACTGGATAACTGAAAACAGACGCTATGAAAAATGAAGCCAATTCGAGTGAGATTTGGAGCAATTAAGTCTATCCTTTAGTAGGACTTACAGTGTAAAGCCGTCTGGGGTCGGTTGCACGAATTAAGGCGTTATTCATCGGATAGTAATTTTTTCAAACGTTGTAAAAATTATTGAAAAGCTAAAAAATTGCGGCTATGGGCATCACAATTAATGAAACGAAACTTGGTTTACAGCAAGGAACGACCATGTTTAAAATCACTAAAAGACAGTGTAAACCGTGTAGTTCCCGTGTAGACGGAGATGAACAATAAATATACTTGATATTAGGATCAAACTGCCTGAAAAATATATGAACTTCGATGTTTTGAGTGAAGACCCTTCGTGTGGAAGTTAGTAGCCCTAACCCAACCTACGTTATTAATTTCCAGACAAAAAGCTCCAGACGGCGAAGTTCTTGTTATATTTTCCAAGTCAAGTTTGATCCTGAATTCCCTCAAGTATACATGTTAAAATAAAAAAATATACAAATCGTGCTTAAGGCTGTAAAAAAATATAAAATATACCTTTTTCACAATATCTTCCAGCAAAACCTTTTGCACATCTACAGATTCCTTTGTAAGTTAAACATCGACCTCCGTTGGTGCATTCTTGTTTACATGGTGAAGCTAAAACCACAATAAATTATTGTTTTGTACTTTGCATTGAGTTATTTGTCACAAATAGATGGTCTTAAAAAGCAAAGAAAAATGACTTCAAAGCAGAGTATTTACTGTCAGCCGGTGATAATGGAGAAAACCCTCGACAGTAACCATCTTAGAAAAAGCTTATTAGAGCGCTATCCACATCTACCATCTGGCCTTCAAATATCACATTCACCCCCTCCTCCCACCCCTCCCTCCGCTCCTCCTTCTCTGGAGTGGGGAATAAGTTCGCCATCCTAAATGTCCTGGTAATTATTATATATCCATACATTTTGTGGGAGCTTTTTTCTTTTTTAAATTAGGTAACACGGGAACAACTTACTAAATCAATTGCAACCTTGCAAATCAGGCTCTCTACTTCCGCTTCCCTCCCAAACACGCTCCAGCAGAGAGAGCCAGGCTCTCTACTTCCGCTTCCCTCCCAAACACGCTCCAGCAGAGAGAGCCAGGCTCTCTACTTCCGCTTCCCTCCCAAACACGCTCGAGCAGAAAGAGCGTGCATGTTAATATTTGACTAAAATATTCAAACTATGAAAAAACTGTAAAATATGGCGATAATATAAAAAATGTTTAGATAACAATGCATTTCTACAATTCTGGTTGCCTTCTACGGGCGACGTCACTGACTGCATACTAATAAGTTAATAATAGTTATTTCTTGCGTTTTGTATTATAATTTATAAAATAACATGTATATAACGCGTGTTCTGATTGGTCAAAAGCCGTGTTTGGATCAGGCCATCCAAACACGGAAGACTATCGTGTTGTTGTTATTTTATAAAACAATTACTTTATGGTTTCCGTGTTTGGATGGACTGATCCAAACACTTGGGAATGTTGCTCGAGTTAAGAAAAGCGGGCAAAATCACTCGCCTTCGGCTCGTGATTTCGCTCGCTTTTCTTAACTCTCGCAACATTCCCGCGTGTTTGGATCAGGCCATCCAAACACGGAAACCATAAAGTAATTGTATAATCTTAGCTTTGAGATTTACAATAATCCAAGTAAAACGCAAAATGCAACGAAAGAAAAGAACCAACCTCTCTTATTCTGACAATTGGCACCATAGAAATTTCTATTGCATTTGCATCTATTTTTAGCAGCACAAAATCCATTTACACATCGTTGTCGACACTTGCCTAGGTAAGAGAGAAAGAAAGACTCAACATACTTGTGTATATAATACAGATTATTACGTGTTGGTATGGAGACCTACCAGGACATGGTTTATTATTGCATGGTTCTTCCTCAGATTGTTGTAAAATAGCATGACATTCATCTGGTAATGTTAACAATGACGTGCTGGTACACATCTTGACACGGCGTCTTACTCCATCTGCTCCACAAGTTTTAGTGCAAGACGTCCATTGAGACCAATTGTACTCCAGCTCTAAAAATATATTACACCAGTTTTAGATAAATTATGGAAATTAGTGAGTTGTGCTGGGGCATGGTTGTTTTGAGGTTTGGATTACTGATATATGTATAGTTGTTTGATGTTAGCCTAGGTACACTTATAATGGACGTGTTGCTAATTTGATATCGCTCTTTTATGCGGCATTTCCTGTGGTGATACTGAAATAGCAAGGAACAGGGCCTTTCAGCGGGGGGAGGAGGCAATTTGCCCCGGGCCCCCAGTTTAAGGGGGCCCCCAAATTTGAAAAATAAAAAATAATAATTTGGGACGTTTTTTGATATAAATAATGATGCGATAAAAAATTTCTAGATAGGGCCCCCGAAATAAAAATTTCCCCGGGCCCCCGAATTTCTCTGATTGGCTCTGGCAAAGAATGCCTTAACTTTGCTTTTTGACATATTGATGGGAAGAGGATATTTATTCTTGGCATTTGTATAATCTCATGCACAGATACTATTTTTGATTTTACTGTTTTAAAAGTTTTAAAATTATACCTGGTCCTGATCCCTCCAACACTTCCTGTTGTTCCTACAGTGTTTAAAAATAGTGTTAATGAGACAACATGTTTGTCACCTTCAAACCTGGTTATAATCTCAGAGTAACAGGATAAGCTTGTCAACAGCCACAAAAAGGATAAATAAATGTTGTGCAAAACGTATTCATGAACACATTAACATTAAAAAAAATAAAATAAAAAATAAAATGTGCCTTGATGGTGAGCTTTGTTTGTCGTGTTACCAACCCTCCAATTAAGAATTGTAAGATAGAAGCTTTGTGGGGAAGCTGATGGGTGTCTTGGCCCCATCCATAGCAGGTTCAGTTTTTCTGGCCTCCCTGACTATCCAGCTATAGTACGAGTGATGGTAACTGCCAAATATGTGTCTAACTATCATTTGGCAGCAGCTGTCTTGTATACAAATACAGTTGTGGTGGGAGTTCGTCTATGGGGAATACACATGCTGTGTATTTGTGGGGTTGAAGTTCTCCCAATGGTCAACTTACAGATATATTATTACAATCTATAGGATTACGCTCCAGAGACCTCCGCTTTATTTCGAGCATAAATAAGTCTTTTTTAAGCTTTTGTACAACATATCCTATTAGATTAAAGCTAAAGACCTTGTGCATCTATTTATCGTATTTTGGATTTGGATTTATATTGTGGTGTAAAGTTATTTTGGATCGTCTTATCGTATTGTGTACATTCATATTTATTGTGTCACATGCTGCGAAGCTGAACTTTTGGATATTGCTCGTTATATCTTTGGCTTTATGAAACTTGCTACGTATTCTACCAACGGTGTTATAACTTTCGCGTGTTAATTTGGTCTCATTTGGTTAACTTGTTCGTGTTTTATTAAAGTATTATTATTTTGACCGTCGGTGCTTGAATTTGCCACGTCGCGTTCCTAGGCAACAACTTTACGGCAGCGTATCTTGGTTCTACGTATTTCAAAACATTTTTTTACTTTGGATCTATATTGTACTTATCATTCGCTATATTTTGGTGTTGTTTTGTCAACTTTGGAATTAAACATTTGACTATCCGCTGTTTGTAGTGTGGCGTCGTGTATTCATTAATATTGTCTACAACTATAAGCTTTTATATTCCCCCAATTTACTGGCGTGATATCTATCGGACATTCTCCAAACTTGACTGGTGTTTAACGGCTTATATGAAGCGATATATCTCTACGAAGTTTGATGCCTATACCATTTATAAAATTTAAACTGGAACGGATTTTGTAATTTTCCAACCATCATTCTATAAAATATTATTAACTCCACTCTTGGGGATTTCCCTGGTTTGACTCGTGGTTTGACACTATCATGTTGCACTAGTATGGCGGTCAGACGCACCAATTTGAGCTCTGTCCTTTTTGCTATAGCAATTCAACTTTTATTGTTTTATACCCAATGCCAACGCTCTAATAATATTAAAAACCACCAACTAACCGATTCATTATAGGCTACCTATACCTATGGGGAAGTTTCAAATGCTCTCTTGGAAGCTTTTCAAACCATCATTTGCGATCAATCATGACACTCGTAAATTAACTCGCTCTGCACGCAAATTCAACTGCCGACAGGGATATCTTACTGGACTTCTACTATTATGCGGAGACATAGCTAGTCATCCCGGTCCTGTAATTAGCAGAAGCCCTACGGCCATCGTCAATCCCGTTAAGTGCTTACTGCCTAATGCAAGGAGTCTGAAGAGCTTCAACCGAGACGTAGTGACCAATAAAACAATATACAATCTCAATTGTTTTCAAGATCTGGTATATGCGGAAAGCTCCGACGTCGTCTGTGTTAACGAGACCTGGCTTAACAAGGACATACTTGACTCTGAGATTCTCCATTCTGACTATACGATTTTCAGGAAAGATCGTGTTAATCGTAGTGGCGGTGGAGTACTTCTTGCTGTCAAAGCTGAGTCCTTCCAGACAGTTCGGGAATTTCCCGTACCTGCCGACATGGACCGCTTACAACTAGAAATAGTAGCTGCAGAATTGACAACAGAATCAAATCACAAAATTCTATTTTGTTCCTGTCATAAACCGCCGGATGTCAATATTAGTTGGTCAGATGAATTTAATGATTTCTTGAATAATATTTGCGATCAGTACGAGAATTTATTAATCGTTGGTGATTTGATTTCAATCTACCGAATATATCCTGGGACTCTAATAACAATGCGTTTGGTGCTAATGAAATGTCCTTTGTCGATGCCCTGCATGATCACTATCTATCGCAGATCATCAATATTCCCACTCGTGGCAGCAACATCTTAGATCTTGTTATTACAAGTGTACCAGACCACGTCAGCGTCACCGAGGTACTTTCCCCAGATAAAGCTGCACTTTTTACAGATCACAATGTAATCACTTTTGAATACGCTGCTCACGTTAAGGCTCCATCCAAAACTCTTCGTTATATTTATGATTATAACAATGGTGACTTTAACGATTTGCGTACGGCTATTCACGAGAAAAATCTCTCATCACTGGTGACTTCTGACGATGATGATGATATTAATACTGATTGGCAACGCTGGTCAGACGCATTTATGGCTGTAGTTAAAGATCACATTCCAATAAAAAGGCTTAAGGGCCGTAACCCCTTGCCTTGGATTAATGGAACCATTCTAAATTTAATTAAGAAGAAAAACTCAATTCGACAAAAACTTAACAAATCCCCATTTAACTTAAATCTAGAAGATAAGTTCAGGACACTGCGCACCGAAATTAAACGCCTACCACGAGAAAGCTGCGGAAACTTCTTCGGAACTCTAATAACCGACTACCAGTGCAATCCAAAGCGTTTCTGGTCGGTATTAAAACATAAGTCCAAGTCTCAAAATATACCAAACAAGATTTCCATGAAAACAGCCTCCGATCTTGTGGACCCGCCGTCAAGAACTACTGCTGATAATCCTGCCGAAATTGTTAACTTGTTCAACAGGTACTTTACATCTGTATTCACCAGTGACAGTTCACCTCACTATGCTTGTAAGCCAGATGATACCCCGAATATAACTGATGTAAATCTAACTGTGTACGAAATTCAAGCTGTCCTTGAAGCGCTGGATGTTACAAAAGCAACAGGCTCATATGGAATCCCCACTAGACTGCTAAAGGAAACAGCCGAAGTCATAGCTCCATCCTTGTGCTGCCTCTTCAGCAAATCTCTCAACACAGGCACCTTACCTGACGAGTGGAAACTTGCGAATGTTCTACCAATACACAAGAAAGGCAATGCTGAATACACAGAGAATTATAGACCTATATCTTTACTACCCATAGTGTCCAAAGTCTTAGAACGATGCGTACTTAACAACATTAAATGCCATCTCCACCAGCTAGTCCACAGTAGTCAACATGGGTTTTTCACGGGAAAGTCATGTACAACCAACCTTATCGAAGCACTAGATAACATCGGCTCCCTCCTGGATAGTGGTAATCAAATAGACGTGATCTATTTAGACATGTCCTTCGATAAAGTTAATCATGAGCTACTGCTTTCCAAACTTAGCAAGCCTGGATTTGGAGGTGGCCTACTACAATAGTTCCGGTCCTACTTGTCTAATCGGCGACAGCGCGTTACCGCCCTCGGTGCTACATCTAACACCTTACCTGTAACCTCTGAGGTACCTCAAGCTCCATACTAGGTCCCATATTATTCCTCTTATATGTTCATGACCTACCCGGTCTCGTCAAATCCAGTCAAGTCGCTAAGTTCGCAGATGATACGAAAATATTTAAGTCTATCGCATCAATAAACGATACGAAATTACTCCAACAGGACTTATCCAACTTAGAATCCTGGTCTTCGACTTCCGGTCTCCCCTTCAATCAAAGTAAATGTCGGTCGCTGTCTATCACTCGTAAAACGAAGCCAGTGGTGACTACATACAAGATGAAGGGTGAAACTCTAGAAATAACAAAATCGGAACGAGATCTTGGCGTCTGGATGTCAACTGATCTCACCTGGAATAATCAAGTAGTAGACCAATCTTCCCGTCCTAACAAGTTGCTAGGTTATATCAGACGGAACGCACGGTTCATTCAAAACACCAGCGTGAGGAGGGCATTGTATTTAACATTAGTACGCCCTCACTTAGGATATGCCACCCAGATCTGGTCGCCACAGACCATCAACCTAATTGCAAGATTGGAAAAAGTTCAAAGACGTGCCATGAAATTTATTCTCAATCTGCCGTTTTCCAGTCCAGACAGTTATACCTCTCGATTACAGTCTTTATCATTACTTCCATTATGTTACTGGCATGAGTTTTTGGATTTGTTTTTTTTTCTTTAAAATGGTAACCAAAAACCCGAAGCTCCAGACCGACCAGATCGTCTATAAACACGGACATACCTAAGTTTGTCATTCCCAGGAGCAAAACAACGACGCATCAACGCTCGTTTCTAATTCGAACAACCAGGGTGTGGAACAGCCTAGCTGACGAACTGAAACTTAACATGATAAATTTGAACTCATTTAAATCTACTATTCTAAGTTATTACTTCCGTGCTTTGGACGTTTCCTACGATTCTGAAAATCAAAGAACATTCAAAACTATATGTGCCAAGTGTAATACCGCTCGAACTCTGGTTCAGCCTCTTAAGTGCTGCTATTAGTTATAGTTTTATTTAGATAGTTTTTTTTATGTTTGTATGTCCTAATTTGCGGTCACCCTGCCTGTAGTCATGTATATTATTCTTGTTCTTGTTATAGTTTTGTGTATTAATGTAATATGGCGAAACTAATAAATAAATAAATAAATAAATAAACTTCAGGCCCATAGACTCAGGTTATTTATGTAAATATAATCAGTCGAATCGTAGGTGCAGTCCAAGTTGATTATCACCCCTTGGTTCAGGTCTATGTCAGAAGGGGTCGCTACCAGTCTGGCAGGGCCCTATCGGGGATTATCACCCTAGGGCATTCGGTCTCTTCTAGTAGGTCTTATTCTGATACCCCTGCGGGATGAAAACATAAGGCTTAATGAGTCTTTGGGTTGACCAGAGTTTGAGAGTATAATGCATATAATTGGTTCACTTCACCCTGAACCCATTCTCCCACAATGATTTGGTGTGTGTTTTACTTATTTTCGGGCTGTTCTTTCACCTAACGTGCTTGAATCATTAAAGCAAATTTATATATAACAATATATAAATTCTTTAGTAATTCATTAACAATTCATGAAGGAGACTGTGAAGGAGCATGTTTACAGTCTGATACAAAAACCTGCTGATATAAAAAAGACGTTAAGTTAATTATTTTTTGTACGCAAATGAACAAAAGTAGAGAACTTGAACAGAAAAATAGTTCCAAAAATCCTTATTTGAACAACATTGGGTTGTCATACGTTGTCAGCTTGCAAACTTATCGTTCATTATTCATATAAGAATGATTTTGAATGCTGCGAGTTAATAAGCTTATGATCTTTGTACCGAATGCTAACTAAAATATGCAGGAAACCCAAAGGCTTTTACGCTTATGTATATTCTGCAATAGACCTTTCGTATAATGACGCCAAACGCGGATGTCCCTTTTAGCGTCAATTCTCAGTATTTTTCAGGGTATATATAAATGATGTTTTTATGAAATTTATTGGCTCGCCAACGACTTATTATTGGCTCGCCAACGTCTGTGGCGATCACATAAATTGGTTTCCGCGTTTGACGTCATTATTAAGAAATGTCTATTAGTGCTCAATTGCGTCCAAAGAGGCGAGGTTTATTGCTTATTTTGTAACACTACAGTCTACAGACAAATCCTTCACATTTGTGTCCGTTTTTTGTTATTTTGTGACGAATGGGCGAGAAGAAAGTTTTGACATTAATTAATTTAAACGGGATCACGAGCCTAATAAATTAGGGTTGTGTGTTTTTGTGGTTTTTTTCCGAAGTCAGTATACTTTATTCATTTCTCATAACACATTTACATCAAATTAATTGATACTGGAAGGACCAGATAAACCCTTGTGGGCTTTTACAAGTCAGTCCTCCTACAATAAAATTAGCTAAAATACAGTTGATTTGGTATCATTGATAAGATTATATTCATATAGTAATTTTGATTTAATGATTTAACTAGCAATATATATATATATTTACCTAAATACTTCACTTATATATAGATATGTATGAATGCATATGCAATCATGTATACACATTGCATGCACATCTATGACAATAGATAATCTTTCATATCTTTTTTAAACTTAATTTTTGTTCTCGCTTCTTTTATATCAGATGGAATTTTGTTCCATAAACTACTTCCTTTAATCTTAATCGTGAATTTTCCATAATTAGTTCGGTATCTTTCCTTATGTATATAATGTGAGTTTCTCGTTCTGTAATTGTACGTTTTTGTTAAGAGTAAAGAAATTTTTAAAATATTCAGGCAAGGAATTATTATAAAATTCAAACATAAATTGTCCAATGCATAAATCGTTGATCTGATGAAGGTTTAGCAATTTCAATTTTTTAAACAATGGGGCAGAGTTTGCATCATACGAAGAATGTGTGATTATTCTAATTACTTTTTTTGGAGTTTACATACTTTATCTAATCTTGTTGGATAATTATTTGCCCATACAATATTTCCATAATATAGGTATGGATAAATTAATGTATTATATAAAGTTCTTAGTATGTTGGAATTTAAGAAATAACGCGCTTTGCAAATTATTCCTATTGACTTTGATATTTTATTTGCAATGTAATTAATGTGTTGATTCCAATTTAAATGTTCGTCTATGATTACTCCTAAAAATTTTGTTTCCTTAACTTGAGTTAACTGACAATTATTAAGAAATATTTTAAATGTGTTTAATATTTTTTTCTTTGTCGATTTAAAAACTATATAATTTGTTTTTTTTATATTCAACGTAAGCTGATTGTCAATTAACCATTGACTTATTTTCTGCATTTCTGCATTGATTGTGTTATTTAATTGCTCAACATTTTCACCAGAGTAGAATAGATTAGTGTCATCTGCAAATATTATAAATGATGTAAGCTGACTGCTAAAATTGATGTCGTTTATGTATATTAAGAAAAGTAGTGGACCCAATACTGATCCCTGTGGTACACCACAGGAAACCAGCTTTGCATCCGATATTGTATCATTGTATTTGACGTGTTGCATACGACCAGATAAATAGCTTTCAAACCATTTATATACTACTCCTCTTATTCCATAGTGTTCTAGTTTTTTAAGTAAAATTTGATGGTTAACTGTATCGAATGCTTTTGACAGATCGAGGAATATTCCAATTGTTATTTTATTATTATCAATTTCTTGTTTAATTTTTTCTGTCAATTCAATTATTGCAAGTGTTGTTGATCGTTTTTTTCTAAAACCATATTGTTTTTCAAAGAAAATGTTATTTTTCTCAATATATTGTATTATTCGAGTGTACATAACTTTTTCTAGTATTTTGGAAAAACAGCTAATCACTGAAATCGGCCTATAATTACAAACATTGTCTTTCTTTTCATTTTTGTGTATTGGTGTAACCTGTGATACCTTTAGCTGATCAGGGATTATTCCTGTTGTGAATGTTAAATTGAAAATATGACACAATACACTGCTAATGCATGTTCCCATATCTTTAATCACTTTAGGATGAATTCCGTCATAGCCAGAGCTTTTTTGGGGACATAGCTCTCTTATGATTTTATCAAGTTCACTCGTTTTTATTCTAGTGAGAAACAATGATTTTGGATAGTTTGATTTTAAATATTTGGTATAATTTCTAGTGTTGTTTTTGTCGAATTTTTTTGCTAAATTTTGTCCTATACCTGAAAAGAAATTATTAAATTCCTTTGCTATTTCATCTTCATTTGAAATAGTTGTGTTCTCTTTTTTGAATGATTCAGGATACGAAGATTTACATTTATTTTTGCTTAATAAATCTTTAATTACATCCCATGTTTGTTTTATGTTGCTTTTGCAGTTTTCTATTTGTTCGCTATAATATTTTTTCTTTGCAATACGTATTATATGGATTAACTTATTTTTATATGATTTATACTTCATGCAATTTACCGTAGTCGGTTGTTTTAAAAACTTCCTATATAATTTTTCCTTCGTGTGTGTTCAAGAAACAATTCAATGTTTTCATTAACAGAAGACCGACTGTCGCCTAATTTGTGGGATTAAAAATATAATTGCAGATAATTGTCCACATTATTGCTTCCAATTCATAAATGTAAATATTTACACTTAGAATATCTTAGAATACCTTATCATGCAAATATGTACATATTTACACTCAGAGTAATGTACATTGTTATCGAATATCACCAACTCGAACCAACTTGACCTCGTAGCTCAGTTGGTAAAGAGCATTGGGCTAGTATTTCAAAGGTAAAGGTTGGGGGTTCAATTTTCCCTGGTCAGGCAAACACTTAGAGTAACACCACAAACATCATTTTACACTCTTAATTGGCAATTGTGTACTAACAGGACTAGCGCGTCCTTGGTTACCCCAGGGCGCTGGGAAACACTGCATAATTTTGCCCTGGTTATCCTGATAAGTGAATATTTCTTTTGATTGTGTGAACAACAAAGTTGACAATATTTCATATTTCCCTCACAAAGGATATTATTGGTGGGGTTTTGATATGACTTCCACCACCATTGCCGCTGCCTCGCGTCAACCATTTGCTTTTATGCATGTTTTTTGGGTTTTTAGTTGTGCTTACAACTTTGGTTGATCTCTATTTTAGCGGTGGTGGTGGTGGGGGACATATCTGAATTTGCGCTGATATCATATAATATGTAATACTATTACATTCAGTAATATGTAATTGTGCATGTGTTGTTTTTAATTTGTTTGTAATATGTAAGTTTTGTTAATTTTACGCAATTCAGCCAATTCGGCTGCCATGTAAAACTATTAAACTATCTATCTATCTCTCTATCTAAGGCATCTTATGTTAAACCTATAATAGTGCTACCTTTTCAAAAAGCAACACTTGCACAATCTGGTACCCAGAGTTTGGCTGCCATAATTTGGCTGCCATCATATGGCTCTGGATGCGAGGTTGGACTTGCATGCATGTGTACATGTTTGTGTTGATTTTAAAGTTACGTCTATTTTTTGGATTATCAACACTTTTGACTTACAACGTATTAATTTAAGAATGCACATAATCTGCGATTAATACTTCTTATCGTGGAGAAACTTGGCGCCGGCTAATACAAACATAGATCACTTTGCTCTTTAGCAGACATTATACTAAATCCCTTGTTATCACCATATCAGGTCGTTAATATTATCGACCAATGGAATTATAGGATTCTACAGGTTTAAATATGCGTGAAAAATAATTGCTAGATTTAAACGGTTGAAACAGGATATTTTCATATTGATACATACAAAAAGATCATTAAACTCGCATTGTTTTTGACCAGCTCTTACATCATCGGACAAAGACAGCTCTTCAATATAGAACTGAAAGATACATGAAACGATTGTTAGCGTGAGATGATCCAAAATCAACCGTTTGTTATTCATGATACAACGCTCATGTCATGCAGGAGAGTTCTAATAGGGCTATTAGTAAAACAAGGAGTACGGAGCACGGAACACGGAGCACGGTGCATGGAGGAATAGAAAAACCAAAATCCTTTGTGATAAATTAGATTGTTTACATATGCTATTATTATTAACAAAGATTTTTCGCGTTTTGCACGATAGGGAAGTAAGAAGATGGGGCTTTAAAGAAACACATCATCTCGTACTGACACGAAAAATCGTAGCCGTCGCCCATTTGAGTACATACGTAATTTTGGAGAAATCCTGTCGTCCCCACAACGACGTCTTAAAAAGAAAAGAGAGTTGATATTTTATTTGACAGAGGGTGTTGATGTATAAGCGCTGCTGGGGGGTTGATATATTAGCTGTTGGGGATCGAGAAGCCACGAGATTTTAGCCTGCATGAGATTTAGGTAGAAAGTTTATTTCTGGTTGCTTGTTTACTACAAAGTAAACAAATTAACAACCAGAAATGAATATATTTTCTAACTAAATCTCATGCAGGCTAAATCTCCTGTAAAACTAGCCCCTTCTATTAGGAAACAATATACGAAATAAGTGCAAGTAAGTCCTGAATAAATGGATCAATAATAATTAAGTCAGATAAACATTAATTATATAAAGTATTGGTTATTCGGTCACAACCCCACTTTTATTTCAGTATTTACTGTATTTTAAGTTAACACACTGCTAAAACGTTTATTTCATAACTTTATTCTATTTTTAAATACTCAAGGATACAAAGTCTTCATTTTTCACAGAAATATAAACATTTTGAAGCCTAGTCTTTCGTATGCTGTAATACCGACAGTATGTGCATGAAAATTCGTGGCTTCTCGCATAGCGCTAATATATAATCAACCCTTAGCAGCGCTAATATATCAACTCCCTATATCAAATAAATAAATATCTTAGCCTTTTAAGAGGTCGTTGTGAGGACTACGAGATTTCTCTAAAATTTCGTACCCAGATGGTTGTACTCGTTGTAAGTACGAGTAGATGTGTTTTTTAAAAGCCCCATTTTCTTCATATTTTGTACTCGGTGGCGGTGCTCTGTGTTTTACTAATAGCCTTTTACTAATAGTAAGGAGACAAATCCTGGTGAAGAGCCTTCGCTGGAAACATTGGAAGAGGGCAAGCGGCTCTGCTTACTTCTTAAGTAAGGCTGCGAAAACAAAGACAGTTTATGGCTGTTGTAATCTTCTTACCTCCAAGTTTTCATTCTGTTCTGGCGGCTCGGCCTTTGCATTGAGATAGATATTGCCTCTCCTATCCACCTGATCATAACTCTCTTGTGTAATATTCCGAGTTCCTATCATCTCACAATCCAAGTAAAACGAGACAAGACCATTTCCAACACTGAACGCAAACCGATGCCATTTTCTGTCAATAACTTCCACATTAAACGCCAGGAATTGATTCCTCTTTCCGGCTTGAGCGTACTCCAACGCAACTGACGTTTTGCTTATTTTGATGCCAATCTGTAGTCTATCTTGAGAATCATAGAAACTAATAAGATATCCTCCCGTATAGTTGACATATTTCGCTGCAGCAAGCATCGTGAAATGTTGTGGAAATTGCTTCCTGAATATTTGATGTGTTGGAACGGACAGATTTCCCAAGATGTTGATTTTTAAAGCATTTCTGTGCATGGGAGGTGCCGGAATACTGCGAGAATTTCGAGGTACTGACTTGAAATGTTTCAACAAGTTTTTGACGCCTAAGCGAAACAAACAAATCAAAATAAGATTGCACTATACAATTTAATATTAATCTCGCTATGTGCATGTATTATTATAAATCTTCAATTAAATAAAAAAAAAACAAGTTTAATAAATGGACGCATCTAATAATCAATAATCATTTGGTTGTACTGTGCGCCGCCCCCGATAACCCGATTGAGCGCCGCCCCCGAATGAACGCCGCATCTAAAGCTCTGAAAATTTAAAGAGCGCCGCGGTGCTCAAACGAGTAACTACGGTATTCTCCAAAAAAAATACAGAAAGGAAAATGAAATGAATGGTTCTTCTCCAATCGTCTTTAGCACATGTTTGATGTTTTTGTTTTCAGAAATGTTGATTGAACTCCGGAATATCTGAAGAGAACGAAACAATGCTGTATATGTACCAAGTGGAAAGACCTGAATCCGCACATTTCGCTGATACGTAAGAAATGATTCCTGAAAAGCAGGCCTGTAGGGTATTGTCACAGTTTTAAACGAATATGAGCAACAACAAAGTTGCACCAGGAAGATAAAATATTAAATTAATGACACATTTTTAGGACTACAGAAATTTGCAGTGTTTCCAGCATGTGCTTGAAATATTGACACAACGAACAGAGGGGACTTTCGTAGACACTGCATAAAAATAGTGCGGGCTCGTGAGCTTTTTCCCGCAAATTTTGCTTTTCGATGTTTGGCTTACAATTTCTAAAAGATGTTGAAGTTTACAGCATTGTGATTCACTGGTTTTTGAAAGCATCTGGGTTTTTTTTGGAAGTTATAGACTAACTCTTCAACAACCTAATAACTGTTTTTAAAGAAAAGCAATTGAAAGGAAAACTTATATTTTCATACGCAGAAGATGAGTGGCGATATTTATGTTGGACTGTTTTAAGCAGATGCTTCGAAGAACAGGACTATATGATCGGACCTTGTATCTTAAAAGTGTACTTTTATTTTGTTACCCGGTGTGTTGGACATCATAATTAACAGGAATAGTACACAGCGGCGTTTAAACTGGCTATGAAATATCCGGAATACTTCGTCAAGTTCTCTACCGCCACGCATGTGGCCTGTAGTTTAATGTGGCACGCGTCTTTGAAAGGGCTTTACTTGACTTTAATCGACGTGTAAGATATAACTTAGGTAAGCCAACATTTCTTTGTAATGCAAGCTACATTTTCATATCTTTAATGTGTGAATATTTTTAATTTTGTAAAAAATTAAGCGCAATATGTTGTTGGAGAAAGTATCGAGTGCTTCATATAATAACGCTCAGATCTTGTATACAGATATTCGTATTTTATTCAAAATCTACCCTTTATCACCAGTTTTTTTTATTCTTTTATGTTAAAGTATACATAGTAATCCTTGACTTGATAACACGATGATCTACTCGATGAAAATTGGGTAAAGGGGCGATCTTTGCGGAGAAACTTGACCGTTCGGTGAAATCGGTAGTTCAGAGACCCTACTATTTTAATTGTAGTATTTCGTGACAATTTGTTGGCCGATTTCTAGTTTATATTGTAGAACGGGTTCCTAGTGAATTAAATTAATTATCTATCTTCTAACGAGTAGTAATAAGCGCGATTCCTTTTTGTTGATGGATATTGAAATCATTTTAGACTTTTCTTCATATACGAGAAGTACACTACCGAATACTGAATCACTGTTTGCAAAGAAACTAGCCTATATCACCTCCATAATTCAAGCTAATTTTTAAAATCCAATAGTTTCTCCATGGATAAAAGTAGTTTTTAGTGTGGAGTTAAAAATAGGGCAAGTACGAATTTAAAGAAGGTCAATTTGCACTTGTATATCTCACTTCGAAAGAGATGTACATATAAAACAGGTATATTTGTACGGCGAAATTAAACTGCTGCAACAAAGTTTTTATTTCTACTTTCACGTTCTTAGGGACCGGTCAGTATTTATGGCGGGGGGTGGCACCGAAGAGAAAAAGGTTGGGTAAACAAAATTTTGAGTAGATCAAAGGTTGGGTAAATGAAAAACAAAACAACCCAAGGGTTGGGCAATAAAAATGTATTGTCATTTCCAAAACATGACTCACTGAAATATTTGGGAGACATTATTCATGAAAAGCAATGTCAACAGTTATTTATGTCAATACAATATGCGAATCAATCAGAGTCACTATCTTGATCATTTTGACAAAACAAAATAATGGTGTCTCCAAAGAAAGAACATGTGCAGACAACATGAAACTTTAGACTGCAGATAATTTCACAAGCTGTTATCAAACCCTTTGTAAAGTTTGCCAGGGGGTGGGTATTTATTAGTATAGTAAAGTTGGCCAGGGGTGGGTATTTATTTTTTAATTGATATTTTAGGTTGGGTAATCAAATTTTTTACTTTTTAATGGTTGGGTCAGCAAAATTTTTGCCACAAAAAACATTTCTCTTCGGTGCCACCCCCCGCCATAAATAATGACCGGTCCCTTATTCCAAAGCAAACACTTCTAAGTCGGAAATGCCTAAAATTGTGAGCGCAGAAACACTAAAGAAACAAGAAAACGACTTCATAACACGAGTAGTTTTGGCAATATGGTGTTTGTTTTTAGAATTCAGTCACGCGATTAACCCGCGGTCACGTGCACTCCACGCTTACGTTTCTCGCGCATGCGTAGACGGAAATCCCCTCTGTTGCCACTGCGTACATTTGGATATTTTTATTGAGTATTCTTATGGTAATGTCAATTCCTATGGTAATGTAAATATCGTCACGGTGGTTTTTGGGTGGCCTGGATAGGTTGTAACCTTACGAGATAGGACGGGAACGGTGTCAGGTTAACCGTATAATCTATATTATTTTATGGCAATTAAGTTTTTGTTTTGGTAAAATCGCGTAATTTAATAGGCAATTCCAACTATAGACTAAATTTTGATCTAGGGAAGAAGAACAAAATTTATCACCACAGCTAGAACGAGCATGTTAAAATTAGTAAAATTAGTAAGTGTAGTTGCGAAATGTTGTAAAATGAGGAAAATATAGCCCTGTGAAGTTCGCAAATAACCACTTTCGGCTCAAAAATGGTTATTTTTCACGCGCGTAATACAAATCTATACAAAATTTGCGAACTTTGCAACCAAACTTTGCAATTTTACTAATTTTAACATTCTCTCTCTTTCTAACTGTGGTGATGGATTTTGTTTTTCTTGCTTAGATCAAAATTTAGTCTATAGGCACAGCCTATTGGAATTGCCTATTGGCTGTTGACGTGGCCGCTTCGCGTATTGACGTGGCTGTTTCGCGCATTGTCACGGAAGTGAGATCAGACTTGGTAAAAGTTTGGTAAACTTTTTAGACATTTAATAGTTCGGGTAATTTTCTGGTAAAGTTTAGTAAATTTTGAACACAAAGTTGAGTAAATAACTCCTGGCCTGGGAAAATCTGATCACACTGCATGGCCCACAGGCAAGAGCAATATATATATAATTCTTATTGCCCTACGACAAACCCGAGTTCGAACAAAAAGGGATACAAAAGTTGTTCGAAATAATGAAAACACGGAAAAGGGAAAGAGATAGTTGATATAATGGCAAAACTTTCAAAGGAAATTTTTTAGGTGTAAGTCGAAAAACTTAAAACTAAGATAAATTTTACAATATTAATAAAGCAACGACAGACTACAGATTTTCTTCGAAAATGGCATGCTTTAGTAAAAACATAAAACATGAATACGAAACTTTATATACGAAATACGAAACCGAATATTTAAAAAACCAAATACGAAACCGAATATTTAAAAAAAAACTGTATATATTATATTATACTGTTTTCATGTACAATTTTCAAAATGCTTTAATAAAAGCTTACTATAACCTTGACCGCTCGGGCGGTTCCGAAAAATAGACAACCTATGACCGCGCTATCGCTCGGTCAATACAGCTAGACCTCGGTTTAATGCTTTCCCGTACAGTCCTCGGGAAATTATTAATATTATTTTCGGTTTGGATTTATTTTTCGCTGTTTATGATTTGCTGAGCCTAATTATTATCCTGACCCATGACATGAATGTATGTTCTTATTTTCATATTGAAATGATTATCAAAAGTAGACCTACCGAGTTTTTACAACCAACAACAAACTCCAACACACAAAATTAAAAATATAAACATAACATGTCTTTCAACCAGTTCGGTTCTGTGTTTCACGTAAAAGCTCCACAACGTAAAACGTGTTGCCCATCTGAAGTTAACCCAATGAGTGGCAGCACACTTCACAAGGAGTAAAATCGTCTGGCGTTAGACAGAATAAAATAATAAAGTAGGACATACCAGGGCGCATTTATGCGTAGGGTTCAGGTGGGTCGATACAGTTTTCACTAAATAATTTGGTGTAATCGGTCTTCAGATATTAGGATGTACATTTGTACAATGTATTTCTGTACGTTTGGTACAGTTAGTTGCAATAGCAACACAGCCACACAGTCGTAAGAAAATTATTCTTTAAACATCCTATTGCTTTATGCAAGTAGAAACATTCGCTGCTTTTGATTCCAGGAAGAATGCCAACATCATCCGGTGGTGTATGACGTCTTTCAAGCGTGCCACGATTATGTCATGTTGTTAATCCCAGTTTGATTAGTTCCATATTTGTAGTAGAAACATAAAAACGTTCTGAATATGATATCAAAGTGTGTCAAGACAGCCTGTGCATATATCCTCAGCGGCTCTGTTTGGTGCTTTCACAAACCCACTCAGACTTTAATTTCAGTCCGTGGGGTCAACATTTCCATATCATGTGCGCGCAGCGTGATTTGGCACTCGTTGAAAGTACGTATAAATAAGCGCACAAGATATTGCATACAATGTCATGCTGCTTACAAATATTGAAATTACATCAAGGTTACAAAACTTGCCAAAATTTGTTCTGCACAGTAAAAACGAACTTGGATTTAAGTCAAAAGCAGTCTACAATTTAAGGAAGCATGGCTTGCCTTTATTTTCAATAGAAACAGCCTACGATAAAATTATTACTAAACTAGATAAATACAATATTGTATTTCTTACAATATCTCAATAATTACAATTACAAGATATGAGAGCAATCGGTTTATAGCAATGGAGCAGCAGAAAACTAATGAGAAAGAATTCGTTTCCTAGACTATTTCATGCTGCCAGCTCATTGTTTTCCTAAGTTTCAATGTATAATAATATTAATACTAGTCTATAGTACCAAGAATGAAAAACCAATATATGGAGTGAAACAAGCCGTAATTTAAAAGGTATAGCTGCCATTTTTAACTAAACTTAAAGTCAATATACACAACAGAAAACGAATACTGAGCGATAAAATTCAATAACTTTCCCGCTGTCGGTTGCGCGGAATTTTGTTGTTGATTTGCATTTTGCGCGTCTTTGATAGCTACAGACAGCTAAACTAAAGCCTGGTTTTATGCTGGTGTGTTTCATAGTATTTAATCCAGGTGATATGATTATAGTTTAAGCTATCTCCGACCAAAAATAGCCGCGTTTTGTAGGAGATACAACCACCTGAAAAAATACAAACACAACTTCGACATTTCGAGGGAAGTTCCTTTGTCTGGAATTACCAGCCTCGTCCCCACTTGCGTCGCCACGAACCCGCGCGTCTGAGTTCGAGCCTGGGGACGAGGCTGTGGAATTACAATAACGAGGTTATAGTTCGGGCGAGGGCCCTTTGTTTGAAATCATGATCGCTGCTGTTTGAAATCATGATCGCTAGCTATACTGGTACCGACCGTATATACTATTTCTGACTGCCTATATATTGTTGCTATTTGCTCTTATATTATGGAGTTCACCCATTATAATGTTGTTATATAGTACTAACTCGAACTAAATTTGATTGCGCATCGATATAAAAGATAGTAAGAATATAACTGAATATCCTCAATAAACTCTTTATCAACTAAATTGTTTCCTACTTTCGAATTAAAGCGGGCATATAGAAATAAATTACTCCATAACCCTGCCCTATAGAAACCCAGATACATCGTTTCCTAAAAATGCCGCCCTGTGGAAGAAATTTAATTGATATTGTCTTGTCTTGTCAAGAATTTTCCAAACTAACCGCGGAAGCGCAAATCGGTAAAGGTTAGGCCGCAAAGAAAAATATAACCAGATGAGCAAGGGAAAATTGATTTGGGGTTTTTTACAAAAGATAGATACGTTAGTGTGAAACGAGATAAACATTCAAGATAGCGCGACTGATTACTGTGGGGTCGTGATAACGTGTGAATTTCTCTTGTTGTTCTAAACAAGTATGACAATTATGTTGATATGATTCAAATAAGATGGTATGATAAAAAAATTCCTAACACACAATGTCATTGAAGATATTATTTATTCACAAAAAACTAAATTTATTTATTCACAAAAAAACTAAAATAGTATGTGGTCTCTCATTTAGATGCAGTTCCCCTTTATCACTTCATGTGAACGTGGCTCTATTTATCGCACGATCTTTCCTTTATTAAATATATTATTCTCTAGCCGAAAATCTACAATATACTGCAGTGTGAAAATTATGACGACATGAAGATTTGCATACATACAATGATACATGCATGCACGACCAACTAACAGTCAAACAAAACACCGTTTCACAACACTACAAGTTTGGCCTTCATATGATACAAGGGTAAAAAAAGGAGGCGCCACATTGAATTCATTAACTCATTACTCGTAAGTCCTGTTGTTTTCCATATGAGATCAAAAATTCATTGCCATGTTATTGCGCACATTTTTCTTAGTATTGATAAATTATTTCGCAATTATACAATCATTACAAAATAATCGCTCTTAAACGAAACCGTTTTTGCCTCGACAGCAAAATACAAGACAAAATATTTGGTGACGCCTTCTTGTTTGAACTTTGCGTTCCTGGCGAGACATGCGTTAGGTTCAAATCTCGTATCACGTGCTCAAATTGTCTGACTTCCCGCACGTTTTCCATAGATTTAATCCCGACTCCCATCATTTCTTGAAATTCCCAATCCCCTTGGCCTTGCATCCTGCTATATATCAAAGTAATCCGCAAGACTCAATTTTTTATCCTGATTTGTTGAAGTTCTATGTTGTGATGAATGTTTATACGAAATAATCATACCATTATTAATCAGTGCATTATATTATTCATGGTACGCGTCTTGTTTGCGTTGTATTTTATGCTAATATAACATGGAGGCTTGCACGTGGAAGTAAAAATTAAATGAAAGCCCAGAGGGCAGAACTTGAAGTTTATTTGGTATAGTAGCGAAGCTAAAAATGCGGGAAGTTTTAGCCTGCAACGGTACAACCATTGCACTGTCATTGGATAAACACACAACAAGATTCTGGCATCGAACCTGAAAAGGTTCATGATGTTAAGTTCGATAAAAAAATTTGGTCGCACATTCCCAGCATGCTGTTTTTTGGCAAACATATTCATTTCTCGCTCATGCATACAGACTGTCCCGCCTGGTTTCCCCATATTTTTGGCTCGTGTACGTTAGCTGTGTCCCGCCCTTGGGAACAAGGCTGACTTCTTGTAACTGTTGATTCACACACGAGCAAATTTTCATGTTTCGAACGACTGTATTTTTCATCTGCGTGTGGCAAAATATTATAATTTGAGAACGTGTTCTTCAATGTCAATGTTGTAAATCGTTGTTTATATAAACAATTGTCGTTTGGTCCAACACATGTTTGGAGAAATTCCAAACAAACTGACTATATTTAGATGTACAGAAAATGTGGCAATGTGGACTGTGGTTGGTCCATAGAAACTATCCCTAGCTCACTAATTCAAATCCGGTTCGAAGTATTATTTGTAACCACAAGAATCTAGCATTGTGAGGCCCCTGTTGAATTGATTGTCCCTGTGCGGAACCAGGCAATATAAAGACGAAAGTTACTTCATTTAACATTTGTAACTTACCGTCACATGCATAGTTATTGCAGGGTCGTTGCCCAGTTGAGAATCCATCACAATTTCCTGTCGTGCATATTCTTGTTCTACTTTCCCATCCGCCTGAGCAGGAAACTGAGCACGAGGACCAGCCTGACCAGGATCGCCAACCTTAAACAAGAAGATAATGTTGAAAGTAAATAGGTAACTTTAAACATTATCGACAACAACGACGACGACGACGACGACGACGACGACGACGACGACATGCAACGACGACATGCAACGACGACAACAGTAACAATCGACAATTAATATCAGAGTGAAAACATAAGGTCATTATTTTCGTTATATGTGGTGGACTTCTATATTCGGTGGTCAATAAAAAGAATTGAGAAGTGGTTTAATTTGCTTGGTCCTTTAAAGCCTCGTTCCAACAATGCTAAACAGTGCTGGATGAAATTTTCAAACAAAGTTAAATCAACAGCGGCCAACATTAATCAATATAGTGTTGAAACGAGGCCAACATGTAGGAACAACATGTTGACCTCGTGTGAACGGGCTTTGTCAGCAGTTCGGACGTTGACCACATCTGCTGCCAAGTAACGCCTTCGTTGTGGGTGGCAAAGACCCTCAGGACTCGGTAATGGCAACGAGGTTGGTTTGTTGATCATTTGGATTAAAGATTATTTAAATTGAAAGCACTGACAACAGTTTTACCTAACCTATATGTTCCATTCACTGAAATATCAAAATAATTCGATAAAGGAGTGTCTAATATCAGTATTGACGTTCTTTAAGGATCGGTTTCCCCTGCCCCCTAATTTGGGCAGCACGATCAAGGAGGAGCATGTTTGATTTGTGGCACAAGGATCGCTACACAAGGATCGCTACAGCATTTCCCGTTATCCTGATTTACTGCGTTACAAAACTGGCAGCATTTTGTTAACAATTAATCGTTTTCTTTGAGTAAGAAGATAGATTATTTCTATTGATAAAATTTTCCCTTCGCTTTGATTTATGCTTGAGGGAGATGGAGAGAAATGTTTTATTGAAAGTTTGATTTAACACATAACTTGTTCCAGGCTATTTTTATGATTACACTGTTGCAAATAATTCAAATTGCTTTGCCAAGTTATCTTAGTTTGAAACGGTTTTTGATATCAACTATCCTCACTATGACGTCACATTGCATAATCTTGGAATATTTTGCATCGAAATCATAAGACCGTTTATATGTGTTCTGTCAACATACTACAAATATAAGGTCGTTAAAACCGTCCGAGCAAGGCAGAAACTCGATTTATAAATTAATCCAATTGGCTTGGACGTCATCATCATTAAATAATATTTACACGGAATGAAAACACTTCAGTGAAAGTCACTTTTTTTAATGCGTGTCCTGCATGAATCTGCAACTAATAATAATTCATGATAATGTTTATACGTATATAGATATTAGCTTGCAACAAACGCGGATCGAATAAGTGAAATATTTCTATGACAGATGTTCTTCGAGGACCACACCTAGAAATAGAACCTAGTTAACCTGCACTGATTCGCGGATTATAAATTTCAAAATCAATATAGTTGTTTAATTTAACATTTATAAGAGGTTAGGTCTAGTGTTTGACAAGCTGCTACACTCAGGCCTCGTGTCGACACCGCAGTGTAAAATAGTCAAATACTTATAGGGCAAAATGTATAAGATCTACTTAAAATTTTTCACAAGCATTGTAGGCGCATCATTTATAAGCCCAAAGTCTTAATCCTTTAAGTCTTCTTATCAGTTAAACCCATAAATTGAACGGCAGAAAGAACATGATTGAAATTTGGCTATTTAAGGAATATCAATCCCATACTCTAACGACGAACATTGATATCTAGACAGCATCTATACACTTTGAAGATTGTATTAAAATGGTAAAAGGACCTACTTTGTCAGTTGCGAGTGCATATCAAGCACCATTCATACAGTTACGCCCACTTCTTAAAGTTTTCCTTTCAACAACTAAGTACAGGCCAGCTTAACCATGCAGTTATGAAGGCCAACTTTGCGAGATAATACAACTAATATTTGGTGTTTTATTCCGGATTAATGTTCATAAATGTGTTTTTGCGTCATATTATAAATTTCCAAGCGATTAACGAAGTCGAATTGCATAATATAGCTTGCCGAAAAAACTCATAAATCTTCTTGTTGACCCAAATAAAATATATGATAATTTTTATCAATATATCCATATTTGCATTATAATGCGTATATATATATATATGCGTGGGGCATTCAACGGTATTCAGCGCATCATAATTATTAATTTCGAAACATGACTGAAGAGCGTATAAAAAAGTTTAAAAATCTAATCATGCAACTTTGGCCTGTTATCGAACGTTGCCTAGTTATTAAAACGTAAATGAACGTTTTACATACTCAGTTATTAAGATAAGGAAATAAAAATGACACCATTTTTGTATAAACAAATGACACCATTTTTGTATCATTGCATGACGCAATTGCAGGTCGGTCCACTCTCCTTCGCAGAGGCTTTTTTTTTTCTTTCTATATTAGTGTGATTCCCTACTATCTCCAAATGTCCACGATGCCCCTTTTAAGATTCCCTATAGTCAACTTTATATAAAGAAAACAAACTACAATATAGAAAGAAAACGAACTACAAAGATCTACAATGCCTCTTCCAATTTTCGAACATTATTAATATTCGAACAAATACCGGTTGACTATATTTGGAAAGTGTTAATAGACATCATGGGTTCAGTGTGCAAAAGTCTTTAGGAAAATGTTTTAAAAACTAAATTTGCCGTTATTATAAAGTCATTGAAAGTTATTAAGACTTGGAAAACCACTTTTTTAAGTGCATGTTTAATTTGATGCCGCGAGAGTTCAAATAAAAATAATTTCAATTCACATACAACAGTGAATAGGTTTTGTATGCATTCAATGTCGACCAGGCAGTTTAAATCGGATTGTATTTAGCCATTTGCGATCGCAATTTGAAAAATAAAAACCTGGGCCTTATTGTTATGAAGATTTCAGTCAATAAACTTCATGAATATCTAACGCGCTAACAAGGCAAAGTTGGATTACCCTTCTTTTATAGACCCTGACGTGTATATAACGCGCATACAGCTCCCTTGTTTAAGGTTTAATCATATATATAATTTGTTTTATCTAGGAAATGTATCTATTTTTGTTCAAAAATTTGTTTTCAAGTTTTCACAATATTTTTACCAGTTAATAACCTTGCAAATATAGTTATACCACCGCTATATAGTTCATTGCCATTGGATTCCAATTTACTTCAGTTTTGTTCCATTTTACAGTACATATATCTCGGGCAATTGTTTGTTAGCTTTCCTCTTGGCATTTGTTTGCACATATATAAGGTAAGGTGGCGAATAAAATAAATACATTAAAGAAAAACATTTCACACTTTCCATGTTATCAAGTTCTTGCATGGATAGGATCGATCATCTAGTTCTAGAATATCTACACATTCCAATGGCCATGTATAATATGTAAATTTGTCTCATGCTATTGTTTCTACGTTGATACTACTGCAAACTGCTATCAAGGCATTTTTTAATACCATGGACTGGTGGGGCATTTGCCCCACTGGGCCCCTTCCTCTGCCCCACCACTGAAGGAAAAAAATGGCCTTTTGCCCCAAAGCCAGGGCCCTAGGACCTGTATTGAGTAAATGAGTTTAATTAACATTGAAAAGAAGTTTAAAAAACAAAATTTGTTGGTGAGCATGCTTAAAACTTATGTTATGTTTGAATGTTTAGCATGCAATTTATTACAAATTTCATCATTTAAAACTTTGTTTTGAGAAGCTGAGACTTTTTAATAAATGTGTTCTCAGAATGCAGGAAATGCTATTTCTGAGTCCCAAATTTTAAAAATTTCCTGGGGGGACATGCCCCCAGCTTCAACCCCCTAGCTAACTCGTGCCTGCGGTACTCTGCTCACACCTTCGGCGATCGCATACTATGCTAGGGGAGGGCATGGAAAGTGGGCCCTTTGGCAGTTTTGCCCCACCATGCACTGAAGAATCCTTAAAATATGCACTGACTGCTATACATAATTTAAAACATAAACTCAGTTGACGCCAGTTGTTTTATTAAAACGAAAACACGTGTTCAAGCTGATAATACCTGCCGAATTGCCTTGACCATGCAAGTGGCAAGCAAATGTGTATATATAGTATGTTCCGTGACCAGCATGGTTTTGAAAGAGCAGGGACAGGGGTCTAGATTATATTTCTTGTACCACCTTGAATTTGTAAGCTCAGCACGCTTAAATAAACGTGCATGAGCACAACTCTGCTGCATAGTTCAATGACAGTGTAAACTGCAACTAGTGCACCATGTTGGGAAGACGAATTTAGTTTAGAAAATCAACAGCGGTATTTCGGTTTATAAAAGACTCAGGGAGGGTGAGAATTTTTATGTTGATATTGTCAGATTTAAGATGATATCAGTATCTCCTGGTGGTGTGAACCAATCCTGCGAACAGGTCTAGCATGAGTTTGATCTTTTGAGTTTATAGGATATACATTTTCATGATTAATTTTCCATGAAAGCCTTTACAACTTGACGTGCGAAAATACCGTGGTATATAGTAAGTAACTTGATACGTTTACGCAAATTCTCCATTCTTAAGTTGGAACAAAATTTGTCTGATTTAACATGCCTATACGGGGCTATAATGCTACTTAGGAAATGCCTTCAATGGCTCAAGTCAATTAATGTAAGTTCTATAATATTTCGCTGGACGCTGATAAAAAATATGGACCGGTTGTGTAACGCCTAGCAGGCATTTGTGCAATAACTTTGATTAGCTTGTTCTTTCGTTTTTCCAAAAATCAAAGTTATTGTTCTGTGTTTTTAACGGCAGATATTTTACAAAAGAGTTGTGATGAGATAAAGCCATTGGCAATGCCTTATCTAGTGGCTATATAGTTAACTGTTCAGGGGTACTGCATCAGACGATTGGACAAAGTGAAATGAATGTGAGCAAGTCACTGATGCATGCATTAATAATAGTTGTTCTACAAAGTATAGCCTATAGGTATTTTTTGTTTCCACTGCGGTATCCATACTATTCCTAGTATAAATGGAGGTTGTTCAAACAAATATGTAGCGGCGATTGTAAATAAAGGCTGGTCTGGTTATTGATGTTAAGAAAATGTTCCAGAAAGTAAACAATATTAAATTAAAAATAGAACGACACGAGCTCGCAAAATTTACATGTTTATTTATGCAAAATGAATTATTAGCCATCATTAGGTCTGCAATTAATATTCCCATGCAATGTGCCGTCACATAAAGAACTTTTGTCGAGATTTTTCCCTCGCTTTTCGTGGTATAGTAAATACGAAAACTATACTTGTGCCAATATTAATGAGATTGTTTGCCAATATTTCTTACGAATGGTCCATTATCACACTTTCTTATTCTTCCCTTTTTATTTTAATTAATACACTTTCGTCACAAAAGTCAGTATTTCGCTCAATAATTCTGCGTGAGAAAGAACTAAGAAAAGTGTTCAGTTACAGTAGACCGGCTAACTTATTTTATACGTGGTCCGATTGTCAAATTTAATGTTAATGCGGTATTAAATATCCGCATGACGAAGCATTGTTATTGACCATAAATATACTTTCACAACCACATTGTTCGCATTAATGCTGACCTTGGAAATGCGAAGTGAATCCTTCACTTCAATTCTGTTGCACATTATAACATTGCGATAATACGAAACGTACACAAAAGATTTCCGTCTTCAAAACTTAATACTTGTATAGTGTTGTTTTGAATATGCTGAAGAGTCTTTTGAATAAATTACCATGTGCACACACATCACGCAACTTAAACATGTAGTCTACAATGTTTACAAAACAGAAATTTTCCGAATTTCAAAGGGAATGTTAAAGATATGTAGCCGACGTTTAATGAATACTTTTAGACTAATTCAAAACGTATTTGCAGTTGTGTTGAATGAAACTAAACTCACAACACGTCCCGGTATTGTACTAGGTTTACTTTACCATTGGTGAGCAAAAGTCACGCTGAGAGCTGACAGGAATTTTCGTACAAATTATTGATATTTTAAAGTCGTCACAACTCAATCCTTGAAAGGTTCAGTTTAGTAAGCGGTGTACTAACTAGCTTAATGAATGAAAACAGATGGCAAAGACAAAGATCTATATATGTATTGGCAAATAAGCCGACAAAATGATCAGTCAAGATAAAAACTTATCAAATTTTATCATAAACGGATCTTAAAATGATTTCGCATTTATTATGGCTCTGCCGCATGCAAGCTTTTGTAAAGATGAAAAACATTTGTCCGTTGGCAGAGCAGTTTGATACCAAGATCATCATAGCTCTATATATAGATATTAATGGTTTAGTATTTAGATATTTGCGTGAGCCACCGTGTGGAACCGTGTGATATTTAATGTCGACTAATGAATGTCGCGACTAATTTCCACTTAAGAAATAATTGTAATTCTATAATAAAATAAGATAACTCCGAATTGCGAGAGTACAACTACCTGAAAAAATATAATAAAATACTCTTCCTTCAACGGACTCAATAAGATACAGTTTTACTGCTGACATTTCTTTACTTAATTGCATTGGAGCGAACATGACACTGTCATGCAATTATAAACATGAAACTTTACATATGGACCTCAGGTTGATAAAACGTCTCCAGTTTAAAGCACCCTCGGTTGTTTCTCACTACGAGTCCTTCATCAGCTCAATATGGAACTAAGCCGCTTTAAGACTTCCAACAAAAAGCTACATTCCTGGTTGAGTTCGTGCATCAAGGTCATGATACACTCTAGATGCAAAATAATCTAAGTACGCACAGATGTGTTTATTACGACGCAAGTAATACGGACCGATTAACATAAAACGCGCTCAGATTAATGTTATTCAGCACTCGGAACTTCCAATAAAAACAATCCTAAACTTCCGCAAAATCTTACACTTTTCAAAACACGCACGAAAACGCAATACTGGGAGAAATATTCATTTAATTAAACAACACATCTCATATTAAAATTTGCTTACCCTGCGATGATAGTATTTCATCTTCATTCTCAATGGTTGGCACCGCTGTTCCCTCAAAAGGATTTTGCCAAGGAACATACAACGACATTGTTTCTGGTTCAAACTTAGCAAACAACAAGTATGTTTCATCTTTCACAATATGTGTGTAACATAGTGATGGGCTGCCAAAACCCAGGATATAAAATAGTGAATCACTGTTATTTGCATAAATCTTTTTTGTGATTTTATAGCCTTTAAGTATGCGGAATAAATGAAAACCTCCAGTTTTTAAATTAATTTCTCTTAATTTATCGTTGTGTATTTCAACTGCTTTCCCGACCGCGACCAAGTCGGCTTTTCTTGCGCGCTCGACCAGAGGCAATTGTTTCCATCCTTCTTGCATTGATTCTGGACATGCTTGAATACAAGAACTTAGGAATATATAAAGAAATCCGTAGTTCAGTAGTTGTTGTAAAATCATTGTTTATCCAAGCTGGTTTCTGTTTACAGTTTCTACGTCCGACTAGAATGCTTGCCAGTGCCGCGATTCTGATATTCAGGTGATGCTGTGGGCATGGTTATATCTCCTCAGTAGTTTATATACATGTATGTCTAGAGGTAAAGTATCATCACTTGACGGATTAAGAAATCTCGAGTGTCGTTGTTTGGTGAGCATATAGTGAACACAAACTGTTGCAATATATATCAATCTGTCAAATACCGAAACAATGCTTTAATTATCTCGCATATACAAATCGTCTCGGATGGCGTTAATCGCACGGTAATTGACTGTGATTAAGTCGATTAATTACAACCATTAATTAGAACAATACATTCGAATTATTTGAAGTAATCCGTTTTTTAGGACACGCAGCAAAACTCTTCTAGAATTTGTGGTGGCTGAAAATACAAACATTGATGGAAATTTCCGCTTGAAACAGTTCAGGCTGTACGTCATTCAGTGAGGGGTTAGGTTACTTGAGCTGGATCATCATGACATCATGGCACATGGCATGTGTGTGTAATGCTAGCTCCTTACCCTTGACCGATAAACTCAGCTTTTTGCAAGTTTTTTTTAATACTTATACCACTTTTAAAGCATACATAAAAGATAGGCTTTAAATTCTTATGAAATCCTTATGTAATTCCTTGAAGTGTTAATCCTGATTTGTGTGCAATTTAAACGGATTGATAAAACTTTCTGTCAAAATAAAATGTCATAGGAGAAACACGGCATAAATAATTCGACCTTCTTCTCCTCTTCAAAATGAATATGATTTGTTGACACTAGATGCCTACGATTTTCTACTCATTCCGATCAATCAAAACTATATACCATGCACAAACTATATACTATACAAAATAAGGCCAATGAAAATTGATATCATGTTTCTCGTCCACAATTTTCAAAAATTTGGAGCGGGATTTTTTCATTTTTCATTTTTCATTATTTTTTGTATTTGAATTCTGCTTGTCAATAATTTCCTTGACCCAGTAAAAAAACCCATAAAAATCTGAAGTATTAAAAATTGGTGTATAATTAATTTTAATTTAATACGTCCTACACTACAGTCTACAGACTACTTTATATTTCTACACATACCAGGGCTGACATGAAAAATAGAGGCATTCTGGCGAATAATATCTTTAGAAAGATACAATTTGAGTTGCGCTTGTGGAATGCAGCAATAAGACTTTGATCTGGAGATGAATTTGGTGTTTTTTAAGCCTATTTTTCAAAAATAATGAATAATGAAAAATTTTCGTGCGGCAGATAAATCCCATGCGGGCGGGGACGAGAAACATGATATCAATTTTCATTGGCCTAACAGTAACTCCGAATAACATTTTGATTTTTATAATCGACGTTTCGACTATAGTTCATCCTCAGGATTATTAGTCCTGAGGATGACTACAAACTAGTCGAAACGTGGATTAAAAATCAAAATGTTATTTGGAGTTACTGTTATTTTGTATTTTCTCAAAATACTGAGTGGTTCCCGTAAATATACTATACAGACTGATGATAATTCATGATATACAACAAACGCGAGTAAAACGAAATTAAAACTATACCACGTACCAGAAATCGTTTCTTAGGGGCTGTTTACATTGCCTGCTTTGCCAGAACGGGATCAGAGGTGGGGTGATTAACTGATTTTGATGTATGGAAGTAAGTCCGTGTAAGGTCAAACAGTCATTAATACTCATTAATATAGTGCTGAAATGATGCTGATCAGATTTTATAATTTGACGAAATTACTTGGGTTGCTTAGACTGCCTTTTGCTTTCAATAAATTTGAAATCTAAACTATAAATGTAAACGAATCAAATTATAGTTGAAATGTTTTTCATGGAAACTTCGTGCGGATTATTAATATACAGTTGAAGCATAATTTTTGTAAATGGAACTTTCTGAAATTAGACTTACCAGAAACAGTTACGAAAAATGCAACTATAACAGTATAGTCAGTATAGGCCCTCAGCAGGAATAAAATCAGCTGCCTTCAGCTTGAAATTTCCATTTACAAAAACCTTTCAACTGTTAGATATAGTTCTGTCGAGCTACACGCTTCAAAATATCGATATAAGCGAAATTACAGTGCTGATATATGACGAACCCTGACTTATTCCGATCTCAGTCACACCTTTTGTCCCGTCCCAACCTCGTACTCAGGGACTTTCCTCTTGGGGAGCAAAGAGGAAAAATATCTTTTGCTCCCCATGAGGAAAGACCCTGGGTACGAGGTTGGTCCCGTCCTGGAGCATGTAAACAGATATTTGTGGAATGCACTTGCAAATGAACTAAAACAGACTAAACCTGCTTAAGTATTGACGAAAGTAATAAATAAAACAAGTAAAAATATATACAAATTATTGACTGTGAATGTCAATCATGCAACCAGAGCAAAACATATTGTGCGAAATTTAATTTTTAAACACGTCCGATTAGAAAAATGTGTGAAAAATAGCTGTAAAGTCTGTACCCTGGAGGACCTAAAATCTGCATTTGTCGTTTAATTATTATAGCGCATGAAAAGTCCATAATTTAAAATTAATTTAATTATTATAATAATAGTGATTAATTATATAGTATATTAGTGTACAACATATAAGAGGTATATGTTCCGTGGACAATCACAAGTCTAGACTATAAACCATATCGAGATACATGCATGGATGATCCGGCGTCCACTCACTAACCAGAATGATTGCTTTTCGATCTCTTTCACGGTTAGCAATTAACTGTGTGACCTTCAGCATACTTAATAATAGGTAGATATCTCTAGAGACCCTTTCTAATCACATCATGTATACATGTACAAGACCAGAAGAAGGTGCTAGAAAGCTTGCAAGTAAATAATTCTGCTCAGAAAAGGTGATTGTTTTTTAAAAATTAACCATCCTGTTTTGAAGCGAAATATTTTAAAAACGCGTTCATAACTCTATGTGTGTGTTAATCTCCACCGCTTAATTCGGTAAAATATTTTTGAAGCATTTCTACAAAGTGCTCTGTGGTTAAATTGCATCAATTCACAGGAATTTTGGCCTTATAAGGATATAAACCATTTATTAACTGCCAAGTCACCAAGTACTTGGTAAGCCACACCAGAAATTTGCGGCACGTACCAGCCATCAGCTTAAACGTTTGATGTAAGAATAATTCGTGCTCTGTTAAACGAAAAACAAAAAATACTTAAATCAAAATCCTGTGATTACAACTAATAACATAGGTATCATGAAGTAGTTATTTCCGGTCTGGAAGAGCAAATTTCCGTTTGTAAAAAATCTTAATTTTTTTTCTTCTTACTGACATATGTCAGTGACCTTCTGCAGTGTTCACAGGAAATCTTTGAATTTAGGTGATATCTGTACAGGGTGTGACACAAGCAGACTATAAGCAGTTCAGTGTCCAGTATTTTTTAATAATGACGCGTATATGAACCACTAGTCTAAATCTAAACAAGACGCCTGCTCATGCAGGCGTTCACACTGGCCTGGAAATAACGAGATACGTGCTATGGTGCAAAAGGCAGGAATACAAATCTTAAACCGCAAGCAAATTTTATGGACTTTTTAAAAAAATAAAAGACCTTTTCGGCAGACGTAATGGTGCAAATCTATTACTAGGAGTTACTATCGCAAGGAAAGTGCTGCCTTTATCGGCGTATGAACTGAATGCAAAAATTTATACTTCTAGACAATTCTCGGTTATATCCCCAATGTTTCCTTCTCGTTCATCATTTAAGCCCGTTCACAAACTCATTTAGCCAACATGAAAATGAAGCCATTGGGTCAAAAGTGGATATTAAGGTCTATTAACCTATTAGCTGACAATGTACACTACTTTAGTATTAACTCTGGCTAACGCCAGACCAATTTACACTGTAACGCCAGACGATTTTACTTGTTAGTGGCAGAGTAGTGTCAGTAAATGGGTTAACAAACACATCTGGCATTGGTCTCTTATTAACCCATTAACAGGCAATGCACCCTGCTTTAGTAACTCTTCAGAATTTGCTCAGAGTCAATGTGAGTAAAATACATCTTGTATTCAAGCGCTTTCATGTACAAAGTTTCGTTTGAATACGGCACAGAGTAGGAATATTTATTTTGAATTTTTCAAAATATTGGGTTTTTACTCGCACGCACGTTTATAGCCCGATTGATGCACGTGCAAATCATGCCGACCTAGAATCGATTTCCGGTTTTTCCTAAACAGCGCGTTGTTTTGATACCGAAATAAAAGATGAAAATCCCAAGACACAAGCTTGAAAATAACACTATAAATAGTGTTTTCGATTCTGGTTCCAATAATATTATTACGAAAAAGATATGTCCAAAGGGGCCGAAGTTATGTTCGGCAAAATGTATGGCTAGTTTACATTGTTTGTTATATTATGAAATATGATACCATACTTGTATTAAAATTCGCGTCGAACTAAATGTTATTGTATTAGGCAAATAAGTAGACTTACCACAAGTCGACCTCGAACGAAATGAGTTTCTTCGAGGTTGACTTGTGGCAAGTCTAACAAATGAGAACCATACAATAATGGTTCTAGTTCTTGTTGGTATTTTGAACGCACGCCTTGAAGTTATCTTTAGTATCATCAGCTACCACAAATCTTTTCACGCGGATTATATTTCGCGCAGTACTAAAATTTCCGCACCCAGCGGCCAGCGCTACGCGAATTCTCTTAATTCTAGTACTGCGCGGATTTTAATACATCTCTTTAAAGGTATATTGTCGACATTTGACTAAAACTATCGTAAGGAATTAGGAGAGTTTGTCCTTGTTTATATTCCAATATATTGTATAAATTCGCTGGGTACAAATTTATGAAATTTTGGGGTTTTCGAGTCGTTTAATTTAATACAAAAAGAAAAACATTAATTCAACAGGCAAGAAAGTCCAGAGTGCGACGCAAAAATTAACACATGCAAGTACACAACGGATATTATGAGTCCACGACGTATATACTTGTCCTTGTTTAAATATCCTTCCATATATATTGTATAAATTCGCTGGGTCCAAATTTTGTGGTTTTCGAGTCGTTACACAAAGAAAAATACAATAATACAATACAATAAAACTTTATTTTAACACGGTAAAATCTTCAGTACATTAATTAAATATTTAAAAAAAATAATTACAACTGATTTCCAAGATTGCCCTGTGGGAATCATTATACAAATTATAGTAATAATTTAAGGAATTCTTAAATAGTGGTAACGAACGAAGCATTCGTATATTTTGAGGCAGATTATTCCATAAAAGGCTCCACTATAACAAAGGCTTCGTTTTAAATAGTTAGTTCGTGGCTTAGGTAAATTTAGCTTTATTTCAGAGTTTCTTAAGTTATACCCACTGCCGCGAACAGAGAAGAGATTTTGTAGGCAAGATGGTGCATCAT